GTCCTTTTTCCCACAACCATGTTTTCTGGACAGCGCAATCATTCACCAAGCTAAACTAAGTCAATCCATGTCCACCACTTCTGGCTGCCAATCAAAATAGGTGAAGCTCCAAAATGGGTGGTGTCTCTTTGGTTTTCCCTTTGAAATCCCTTGTCCACCACATTGAAAACCCATGTCGAGAGTGTCCTGATGCAGGATCTCCTTTTCCGTGCTGAAGGTCTGTTTCAGCACACGCTTCGCCCAAAGGCAGGCCCAGCTCACCACGTTCCGAACATTCCGAAACGGCCACGCCCGCCGCAAGATCTGGAGGACACACAACCTCGGACACCGGGCCAAGTCCGCGGAGCCCCACACCGAGGTTTCGCTTACCCGAGGTTTCGCTCAAAGGCACCTCTCACGGAAGCCCTGGATCATTCGGCAGATGCACAGGTCAAGAAGCTGCTTGGCCAGTTTCTGACCAAATAAAGAGTTGGTTCACTTGATTTGCAGTTCAGGCTGTAGCCCTCCCTTTTTTGGGAGGAGCTGCTAAGCAGCAACTTCGCTTCATGCATGACCGAAAGCTTCACCATTTCACATCCTTTGGACAATTGAGGGGCCAACAAGCTTTAAATCTGTGCTATTGGGAAAATGCACATGTCATACAAAGTTCAAGGTTCAAAGTGCGACTACGAAGTTAAACCCGTACGTAGCAAGTAGCTTACACCTTATAACCGTGACTATGAAAAGAACTACATAAGCCCAGTTTCCCCAGTTGTAGCCGTGGCTACAATCAAGCACAGCAACAAGGCAATCACTGAACAACTGAGACAAAGGCAAGCCTGTGATCAAACTCCGTGCTGAATCTGCGGCATGGTGCAGTTGCAGAACACCGCACCACAGGACGAAGGCAGTGGCTCCGTGGCCGGTCAGCAGATCGGCGAAGATCGCCATGGCAGCAAGGGAACCCACTTTGGACGGTGCCCTTCCCGGACTCGTCAAAATCACTTGTTTGGAGTGTATTAATTCCGACATTCGGGCGTCTCGTATCGTCTTTTGCGTTTTGTTCGCAGGTCATGGGGTATCATTGTTTTGGATGTTCCGCAGTGTGTTTCGAGAAAACAAAAACAACCCGTAAATTATGGTAATTTTGAAGCTATTATTTACACTGGAAGCAAGGGAACCCCACAAGAAATGAGCCTTGGGTAAGCTCGAGGGACGTGATGATTCCTTCAGTGCGTTGCCACACTTCAACCCTGGCCTTGAGCCAGGTTTGCCTCTGATGTGACTGAGAAGTAGTCCTGCCGAACTTTTGGGAAGCTCAGACCGAAGAGAAGGCCTAGAATTTGAGGAGCCTGTCCAAATATGTTTCAATATAGTCCAAACAGGTATTTCAGTATTTCTCCATGGTTGGAGTATTGAAAGGAAGTTCCCCAAGTAACGTAGTTTCCCATGAATCGGTGGAACTGCTCGGCAAATAAGCAAATGAAGGTGGGCCGTTGTTTGAGGGTGCCTTTTCTTGGTGGTGCACGAAGCCAAAAGCACACATGAATGGGGGTGTCCCTATTTTAACACACAACATGAGGGTTGATCAACATATTCTTCACATGGGATGATCATTCAAGAAAACCACCAAAAGCATGACTTTCCCACCAAACAAAACAAGTTTACCCATGGTCATTCAGGGCCGCTGAACGGAAACCATTTTTTTCAACCCCAACTTGCTGGTGAATGAGAATTTGAATGACCCCTTTTTCAACCATCCAACTGGTGGTTTCCTTTAAGGGGACCCAAGCCTGGGTTCATTCCCAAGCACCAGCAAGCCCACGCCAACCCCACGTGCTCGGCCGGCGTCTGGGGTTCCAGGCTGCCCCCGAGCCCTCGGAGCGCCCAAAGCCGTCCGCGGAGGCGTCGAAGGTCTTGCAGCGCCCGTCCCCGGCCAGGCCCGTCATCTTGCAGAAGCCCACCCACCTCCGAGAGCCGTTGGTTTCGCGAAGGGCTCCAAACTTTTGAATTGACAAAGGACATGGGGGTTGTGGTGCCGTTCTTGAGGCTAATTACAATCTGAGGCTACCATCCCCCCCCTAAAAAAAAGATTGTTGTTTGAAAGCACACTGCTCTCACCCGAGCCCCTTCAAAACCATTGTCCATGTCAGACAAGGTTGCAAATAAAGCAGCCACCCCGTACATATTCTTGGTCACCTCTAAACGAAGAGAGGTGACCAGTACAGCAAGAGGAGGGACCAATTCATTGGGCCCTTGGCTTGGCTCATATCCGACCATTTCACATCCCTTGGACAATTGAGGGACCCCTTAGGGATTCTGGAATCTTGGCGGCTATGGCCCGGCCAAAAAGATTGAAATCTTTGCTATTGGGAAAATGCACATGTCACACAAAGTTCACGGTTCAAAAAGTGCCACTACGAAGTTGAACCCGTACGTAGCAAGTAGCTTATAGCTTATCACCGTGGCGATCAGAGAACTACATAAGCCCAGTTTCCCCAGTTGTAGCCATGGCTACAATCAAGCACAGCAACAAGGCAATCACTGAACAACTGAGACAAAGGCAAGCCACCCTATGAGCCACGGTTTGCCACATCCATCAACCTTCAAAACTGCACCATTGCGAGCCGCATGTCCGTGCGGAGCTGCAGGTTGGTGCCCGCCACACAGGCCATCTCCTGGCGGCCCAGCCTGGCGCTTCGAATGGATACCAGCCTGGCATGTGTATATCTTTGTGGATATTTATGTATGCATGGGCATTACCATGTATAAAGCTGTAGATGTATAGATGTATAGATGTATAGATGTATGTATGTATGTATGTATGTATGTATGTATGTATGTATGTATGTATGTATGTATGTATGTATGTGTATGTATGTATGTATGTATGTAAGTATGTATGTATGTATGTATGTATGTATGTATGTGTGCATGTATGTCTGTGTCTGTCTGTCGGTCCATCTGTCTGTCTGTATGTGTATGTGTGTGTATGTATATGTGTGTGTATGTGTATGTGTATGCATGCATGCAATTAGGTATGTATGTATGTATGTATGTATGTATGTATGTATGTATGTATGTATGTATGTATGTATGTGTGCATGTATGTATGTATGTATGTATGTAGGTAGGTAGGTAGGTAGGTAGGTATGCATGCATGCATGCATGGGTGTGTGTATGTGTGTATGTATGTATGTATGCATGCATGCATGCATGCATGTAGGTAGGTAGGTAGGTAGGTATGCATGCATGCATGGATGTGTGTATGTGTGTATGTATGTATGTCTGTCTGTCTGTCTGTCTGTGTGTGTGTGTATGTATGTATGTATGTATACATGTATGTATGTATGTATGTATGTATGTATGTATGTGTGTATGTATGTATGTATGTATGTATGTGTGTGTATGTGTGTCTGTATGTATGTATGTATGCATGCATGTATGTATGTATGTATGTATGTATGCATGTATGTATGTATGTATGTATGTATGTATGTATGTATGTATGTATGTATGTATGTATGTATGTATGTAATGTATGTATGTATGTAATGTATGTATGTATGTATGTATGTATGTATGTATGTATGTATGTATGTATGTATGTATGTATGTATGTATGTATGTATGTATGTATGTATGTATGTATGTATGTATGTATGTATGTATGTATGTATGTATGTATGTATGTATGTATGTATGTATGTATGTATGTATGTATGTATGTATGTATGTATGTATGTATGTATGTATGTATGTATGTATGTATGTATGTGTATGTGTGTGTATGTATATATTCATTTGTGTATGTATTTACGTACGTACGCACGCACTACAATGCACCCCAATATACTGTCACCAGTCAATGTGTGGTCGTGTGCGTGTGCGTGTGCGTGTGCATGCGTGTGCATGCGTGTGCATGCGTGTGCGCGTGCGCGTGCGTGTGCGCGTGCGCATGCGCGTGCGGGTGCGCGTGCGCGTGCGGGCGCGGGTGCGCGTGCCTGTCACTGTGCGCGTGCGAGTGCGTGTGCGTGTCGGTGTGGGTATGTGGGTGTGTGTGGGTGTGCGTGTGCCTGCGTGTGTTGTGAGTGTGTGGGCGTGCGGGCGTGCGTGCGGGCGGGGGGCTGTCTGGCATCGCGGATGGTCCAACAATCCTTTAATTTCCTCCCTTCCTGCTTTTTGAAGGTGCTTACAAAGGGAACCAAAGGACAAAACACATACAAGGATCATGGAACAAACTTGCTTTGGGATGGACTGAAGGGGAAATCAAGAGCAAACAGCCCATTCCTAGAACACACCAATGAGGCAGCCTCCCTCTGTGTCCACCGTAAACGTCACCCATCTAAAAGTGAGTCAATCAACATTCGCCCGAAATGCATTCAAATCATCCAGCCCTTCCCAGGTGCTAAATAGAGGCGCAGCATTTCCGAGAACTGCCCCACCTTGATGTCTTTTCAACCGAAAAGATGATGGGGTCCACCGCCTTTTGGCGTAAGTTGACGTTTTTCGTGGGAACCCAACAAGTGATGGGACCCCACCCACCTCCTTCCGCTTTTTGGCCACCGGCCTGGAGGCCTGCACCGCGCAATCCATGGCCACCAGCGTGGAGGAGCAGGCGGTATCGATGGTGAAGCAGGGGCCTGCGGCATTCGGCCACTGGGAGGATCAGTCCACTTGGCGCGAGAAAAAAAAAAAAAAAACGAGTTTTTTTTGCCGCCCAATAAAATGAGGGAAGGGCCCAAAAATGAAAATGACCAAGCTTGGCGCGAAGATTTGCCGCCCAAAGATGAGGGAAGGCCCCGACATCGTTTTGGAGGCAGAAATGAGACAGGAGACGTCCACTTGGCGAACAACAAGATTGGCCGCCCAAAAATGAGACGGTCCCGAAAATGACCAAGCTTGGCAAACACATCCGATTTGACGCCCAAACATGAGACGGTCCCATCATTTTGAAGGCAGCAATGCGAAAGCTTGGCCAGACTATGACCCCGCAACAAAGTTGACTGCGCTTGACAAAGAAATCGAGCAACCCAAGGCAAAGGAGTGGAAAGGTCAATTCAGTCCGGCAATGAGCATGTTGGGTCATTTCTCACAGGTGTCATATCCCAGGCTGTAGTAACACTGAATTGGCCTTTGACTCTCTGCAAAACAAACATGCTGGGTGGTCAAGTAGTCCTTAACAACAATAACAACTGCTCTATACAATCACAGTCTCACTTCCTGAGCGGGCTGGCAAACAAAAAGTCAATTGTTTAATTTATACTAAAATAGTTTAAACCAAAAAGCGACTAACGTCCAGAACTCAGGAACTGAGTAGTCCGAAAAATATGTTTCAACACTACGAAAGGTGAAGCCCTTTCGAGTCTTTCGCAAATCCGAGCCAACGGACATGGGGACATCAGGACATCGGGGAAATCCGGAATCCGCCTCTCAGCCCAAGGGCGTGGGAGATGCGGCCGGACATGCCGCTGAGGCCGGAGCCGATGTTCGTAAAGGGGCCGATGTCCTCGGTTCCACTTTGGGACCCGGGCTCTTCATTTGATCTTGCTCCCCAGCTGCGGTTGTTTTTTCGCTTTCAGGGGGCCCCAAAGGGCAAGAAATGGGCAAATGCTCGAAACTCAAACCTGCCAAAGGGCTCAGCCCGGCCAGCCATGGAGTCAGGTCATTTTGGACCATCCTGTGATTTCTTCGGGAGACCATTGGCTTGATGAACTGCATGCCAAGCATCCTCGTAATCCACGGTAATGCCTGTAAGAGTGCAGCATCCCATGAAAACGCCACATTCCACGTTCGACAGGCTCTCCTTGTTGAAGCCGCTGTTGTAGAAAGCTTCCTTAGCCAACTATCTTATATTTTTCGGTGGGGGGATGAAGCGACGAATTCGTTCGACGTACCGAGTGATCTGGTTGGCGACGAAACGTTTCCTCGCAACGACCTCATTTTGGCAACTTTCACCGTGGCGTCACTTGAGCCGGGAGAGAAGGTGCAGCTTTCTACCCTGACAGGAGCTCTCGGGGGCCTCAAAAATGACGGACAGTTTGCGCGTGATTTCCGCCACAGAAAACTTGAAGGTTTCCCCAAGAATGATGGGTGACGAGAAAGCGCCCTGAGAACTGCGGAAACAAGTAGGCCTACTGATGGATGAGCTGTGATGCCTCGCATTCAATCCATTCGCTGACCTCTCTCTCTCTCTCTCTCTCTCTCGCTGGTATCAAATCATAATTAGAGTACCCAGTGTCATCCCAAACACAACACGATTACGAAGCCTACTCCATGACCAAGTGGGAGCAAAGCTTCGTAAGCCGTCTCCGTCTGCAACCTCTGGTGGGTGTCCATGGACCTTGCTTCAGGCTCGGCGATGCCGAAGAAGGAAGCGTCGAATTCCTGGCCGGCCAAGAGTCTGCAACAGGCATACGATGCCTTGGTCTCGCGCATGGAACAGCCGTTAAAAGGATCAGTTTTTGTTTCTTTTTTTTTCCGTAAGTGTCGGCCCAGGCGTGTCCATCGCACTTGGGCGTTGTTTGCCCCTGACTTCATGGTCGTGGAGCTCAAAGGGAAACAAAGGGCACCTAATGAGCACTCTTGCTAAACAATGGATCAACATGCCCCCCGCTTTCCCAATCAAGGGGTCATTTGCCACAGAAGGGCTTTTGCCTTAGGCCGTGCACGACAACATGGACACCTCCTCTATAGGACTATAGGAGTCGGACTGTCCTCTCACATCCAATTCCCCTTGGTTGCTAACCCCTCGCAAAAAGTTTGACTTTGTGTAGGTCCAATGGAAAATCCCAATGCTTCACCAAAAGATAAAGTCCAAAGATCCAACCAAATGGCCATAAAGTCCAATTCCCCCCCCCGGATTCGGATCCGAATTCGAACGAACTCCACACGATGAGTCCTCCACGCCGGGGATGAAGCCGCCCTCGCGCACGTAGACCCTGCCCGGCACCGAGCGATCCTCCTCGTAGAGCTCGTCCACGTCGAAGCGCTCGATGGGGATCTCGCCAATGGGGTCTTGGCCCGACAGGAGGTAGCTCCAGAACCTCGAGGGACTTTGCACCGCTGGGACCCCCCAATGCGGGGGTTTTCTCACGATGTTCCTTGTAAACCAACAGGGTACCTTGAAAAAAGCACAAAGCCGCATGAGCAACGGAACAACGCAAAAATGGGTGCTACTGACCCTGGGTTGTTGCGATGGAATGGGAGCTGTCCCCCGATGTCCTCCCGAAGCCAACTGTAGACACCATTTAATGGTGTTAGTGCCTCACGTCCGTCAGGGTCAAAATCATAATGGGCTTGGACTGAAATTCGTGTCTTCCAGGCTTTTTCGTGGGATTTGGTGAGCAAGACTCTTCACGCTTGCGATAGGAATGCCTATCACGTTTCTCGAAATTCCTTGCCAGGAAGTTCCTGACCACCGAAAGGATGTCTTGACACGGCTGCCTGTGGGGCGCTTACCTCCCCTACCCCGCCCCAAACCACTGGTAGAATCAGTCAGCAATGTCGATGTTTATGCAATCGAGCACTGCTTGGGATTTGTCTCACAAACAAAGAGCTTGCACCTGCCATTGCATGCAGTCTCGTAAATCAACACGTGTGTCGAACTCCCCTTAGACAACGGCAACACATCAAACTCCATGCACAAACTGCAGGATTAACACTCCATGTTCTTAAACTTTAGTTCTGCTCACGACCCACCCTTGTTTCCCCGCATGCTGCAACCCAATGTTGGTGAAAGACGCATCTTGCTAAGCAAAGCAACGCCAAGCAACCAACCAGCCAAGCAAGCCAGCCAGCCAGCCAGCCAGCCAGCCAGCAACCACACATAGAACCAACAAAACAATACAGAAACCCACCAGAAATGCATGAAACACAACTCTTCAATCAAACCACCGAGAAAAAAAACAAAAACAAGGGGCTCTGAGACGTCGTTGTGCGCGCCCATGCCCGGATAGCGCCCTGCCAGGCCCAGCATGCTCAAAGGCTCCCTCACCGCCACGGAGTCCCCAAGGCCCGCTGCGGCGCTGTCCTCCTGCGACCCCCACCCCTTCATTGTGCCATGGACACCTGGAGTCTATGTTGCAACCATGAACCCAAAAAAAACCATGTGTGCGGAGTTATTTTATGTTTATTCTGATTTTGTGTTTATTCTTGTATCGTTTTTTTTTGCCCCCAAAATACCCATGCCAAAAAAACGAAGGAGGCTCCGGAAAGAAAAGACCCTAAATATCCACCAAACCCCCCCTGTGAGTTGCTTGGATGTTCAACCCACGTCAGGTAACTAGCCCAGAAAGTGGAAGTAATTGGAAAGTTGAACAACTGGGGTTAGTCACTTATAAACCATGGTTCTGAGACCAAGCGGGTTGAGCATCAAAGCAGGCGCATGCCCGAAATCTTCACCTACCTGCAGCCTCAAAGGGAATCCAAGGTAGCCCTCAAACTTCAGAAGGGAATAGTAAAAAGCAAAAAACACATTGTTGCGGTCTTATGTCAGTGTTCGTTTGCTCCGTCAGCACAAAGTTCTCAAATGCCAACCAAAACTTCTCGCCGCTGTGCAGCACCTAGTTGGAGAACACTTTTGCTGGTAAAGCTTGTGTAAGTAATAGTAAGTGCTCTTCGATATGCTTTTGTGTTGGTTAGATTATTGTTGGGTTGAAGTGTTTTTTCACACAGAAACTGAGCCTTCCTCTTGCCACCGGTAGGTACTGCAAAGCGACAGTCAGCAATGGTTCAAACTCTTTCCAAGTGCACCACTTCGACTCTTCAATAGCTGTCGTGAGTCATGATGGGTTTACGGCAGTTTTCCATGCTTCGATACATTTAAAGGACATGCATCTACATCAAGACATGACGAGCGCTGTTTTGCTTCTAACATGTGCATGCACGAGGGTATGGGTGCAAATGTACATGTGCACATACCCACAGAACCGTCACAATGCATGAAATCTATGATCTAATCTAATGATTGCCTTGGTTGCTCTTGACCCGTCTGCAAAAAGTGTAACATTTCGTGTGTTCAGCGGAAAACCCTTGATTTCCCAAACAAGAATAAAGTCTAAAGATCCTTAACCCACGAGCAATCAACTGCACTCCCAGCCTCTGGGGCAAACTGCGAGAGGATGAAGTCCGTCAGGTCTGCCACAGTGGGGTAGTCAAACATCACCGTAGAGCTGAGGCGGACACCCTCGAAGGAGGCCTCAACCACTTGAGGAGGCCGGACCAAAAACGGCAGCCTTTGGGGGGCTGACACGCCCAAAGTTCTTGGTTGAGGTTGGAAGGGGAGCAAAAAATTAAATGTTAGCAGTTAAGTGGGGATTTCCCACTAAACCACAATAAGCAACAATGTAAAATGTTTCCCAACGACAACCAGGAAGTGGCGTTGGAGGTCTGTCTTTGTGTCCCTTTCAACTCCTAGCTCTTGGTAGCCCCTCTATTTCTATCCGTCTGACTGCTTGCGAGCAAATCTACCCGTCTCTGTCTTTGTGTGTCATGCCCTGTCCTCCGTCCTTGTCTATCTGCGTCAGACTCTTTCTGTATCTTTAGCTCTGTCTCTCTCTCTCTCTCTCTCTTGTTGTGTATTCCGCTTTCATTCTGTCTCTCTCTGTCCAGCAAAGTCATTCATAAATTCGCTGAAGAAATCAGAGCCGCTCGTGTTCCCGGTTGAGGATTTAAGTTTTGCCACAATTCACTTTACCTAGAAAACCCCTAGCTGGGTGATGTTGATGCTGAAGCTGCATCTTTGTCCCAGAACTGCGTGCTCTTTGACCCCATCAGGCTTGGCCCACATGGCTCAAGCTTTTAACAGGTCCATGCTAGAATCCCAACGTGCGTGGAATCCTATAGGCCGGGTTTTACACCTATACATGTGTGTGTATATTATATATGTATGGTCTATAGTCCTGTCTATTGCTTGTCTCACGATAAGCAACCTTGAACATGTATCCTACCTCCAAGCTCTGCACATTGCCGGGATTGCCGGGCAAGTGGCAAGCCGAACATCGGGTAAGGTTCGACGAAAGAGGAACGGATCTCCGAACTTTCCGGGCTGGAGTTTGGGCACCTTCCCAGATCTTTGGCCTTCAGTCCTAGTCCTAGTTCCCAGCTTTGCTTTTCTCCTGACCCATCGAGTTTTGGCTCTAATTTGCCGTAGCGGCTACTCTCATCTCTAGTCAACTAGAATCCCAAATTATGAGTGTGGTCAAGTGTAAGCCCCTTTCTGATGCCATGCGAGACTTGCAAGCAAAGGGATGCTCTCATGGCCTTTGGGGCACTGGCGCTGACAAACAGGGACACCCTTGATGATACAACCTCAACATGCAGTCAGGTCGTCAAAACATTTGATAAGGATTCGCAAAGCACGTCTACACCTCCAGATCATGAAATCCAACCTAATAACCTCTCTGCTTAATGTCTTCTCTGCTGAAACACAGTGTGACGGTCGATGCCCTAGATTCTGAAGTTTCCACAGGGCAATTTCGAGAACCTCACTGCTGCATCCCAACCGCTGCCTGCAGCACTTTCACTCCTTCCACTCTTTGCAGGTTTCATGCAGACCTGCCCCAAACATGCGGATCCCGCAAACTTCTACCCCTTCCCATGGCTTTCCCCACCTCATCGCCTCCGGTTTTTGTTTCCCCGTTTCCTTCCGGATTGCGCGCCTGCACGCGGTTGCGGAACTCCACCGCAGCCAGGGAGTCCAGGCCCATGTCCATCAAAGGCGCCGAGAAGTCTTCCAGGCTGTCGTCCCCCAAGACCTCCTTCAGCACCCCCTCGATGCCTCGCGCGGATTTGGGGCGGATCTGCGGATTTTCGGAGGCTGGGGCGATAGGTAGGGAATGACGACGAGTCCCGGTGTTGGGAATGAACCGGAAGGGGAATTCCCGTTACAGGACACCATAGGGGATGGTTTATAGGGGTGATTCCATCATTCCCGGCTTGCTGAGAGCCAGCAAGTGTCTTTTGAGGATACCCCCTTGTGGAGTGGATACAAAGGGACATTAAAAGGACACGAGCAATTGTCTGAGGTCGACGATTTTACGACATGCGTTTAAACGCGCGAGTCGGAAAGGTTGAACCGCGGAAGACGGCATTGACTCGACCATGGCTGCCCCATTGGCAAGCTTGTGAACCAATTTAGGATGATCCAACGACCTTTCCGTTGATTTCGCTGAGTTCATCTTTCTCCAAGTCGCCTCCTCGCACCAAGTCCTTGGACGGCGCTGCACCCTTGGCCAAGATCCCGCCCTTCTTGGAGTCCTTGGGAGCGTACCTCGCCCCAACTCCCAGGAAGGTCGACAGAACAGGTGCAGCTAGGTCCATGTTCGAGGAAAACTCGGACAAAAGCACACACACACACACCGGGCTTTCACCGGAAACAATGGACACAAACTCAATAACAATATTTATGTATCATAGTCGCTACGGAAGGAGAAGCCTTTCCACAAAGCGAGCAGCGAATATGTGCTGGCCGATGTGCTAGGAAAACAGTGTTGCAACACAAACTATCATGCAGTATTCCTACTTAGGTAGGACGGAACAAGCCTTTACCGTCACAGAGTCGGCCACCATTGGGGACATTCTCTGTCCACGGCTTCCAAAATGAAGAACACGGGCAACTAATGTCGGCCAAGGATTGAGAATCCCCGGCTGCTTGATTCTTATCGGGGAGCACCCCATCTGAGGGCATCCGATCCGGATGCGCCAAGTCCTGCCTGAAATTCGGGTCAACATAAAAGGTAAAATGACAAGGTCCATTGGCCTCAATCTCCCAACCCCACGATAAAGCCTCTGTCCATGGTGGGTAACTCCCGAGCGATGCCACTTGCCATCGAGCCACTGCTGGAAGTTCTCTAGGAAGGTCGGCACCTCCGGCATCTGCTGCAAGAAGGACCGCCACTTGATGCGGGCCACTCCCGCCTGACCGCTTTTGCATCAAGTGTTCTTCTTGCCTCTGCGGACTGCAAGCAGGTTGCGACTTGGAATATGCCAAACGAAAATATACTCCGAGCCACCATCCGATGTTGCAAAATGAGTCATGAAACATAGTAATGACCTGCTTATGAAGGAGTCTACCCACTCCCATGGTATAACTATTTCTGGTTGGGACTGTCTTAAGGCTGAACCTGTCTCCAAGCCTTTGGCATCCGGCTTTCTCTAGGCCCTCTAGGCCCTCGCACCTGCACCCCGCGTAGTACGCCCAAACGCTGCGCACCCAGGATGGTCTCCTGGGAGAAAACATGGCGAGACCTGCATCTTTTGCTTTGGGACCTCGCTTGGCCTCGCATTTGGTGCAAGTGAACCCACGCCACGGCTTGGACCCTCTTGCCAGCTGACGCAGCAAAGACACCAGATCCAGATTCTCTGGTAGCCCCTCCAAAAATCACGCACGAACAGAACAGCGAATGGCCACCCGCTATAATGCTTGTTTTTGTTGGTCCCACATGTAAGTATGTATACAACAATATATATATATATATACATATAAAAGGATTGTCTATGTATCATATGGTCCACATACTGTGGATGGACGCAATTCTGCACCAGTTTGAAACCATAAATAACCATTGTTTGTTGGTATTTACAGGGGAATCGTCATTCCAGGTTTCTTATGTGGTGCAGGATTTCGTCCATCCACAGTATGCGCATAAATATATGCTTTCTAATACGTGGAGAGGGAGAGAGAGCGGGGGGGAAAAAAAAAGATCAGTCTAAATCCAGGGCCGGTTTGGGTCTCTTTGGTGGGCGCTTCCCATAAACCAGCCGTGTTTGCCATGTTTCATCAAACACCAGTTCACACGGTGGGTTCCCAAACAAAATCGCTTGTTACCCCAGTAGTACGTAGGAAACCTGGGTGAGCCCCTTATGCCCTCCCCAAACTGGCAATAGACTACCAGTGCCCTTTCTTTTGCTCGTATACAGCTTTGACTCCGGGCGGTCCCTGTTGTCCAAGGTGGACGCTGGAAGCAAAGATATGGCCATGGGTCAAAATCCCGTACCCCCAGTGAGCATCCCAATCCCCACTAAAATAGGTTCTAAAATGGGTGGTGAATTCACCTACCCCACCATGGGATCCCATGGGTTTTGACAATCACAGCCATATCATTCCGCGACCCGTTGCAGCCAGCGACCTTTTCCCCCCTTAGAGAGGCCCTGAGGAGTGCGTGGCGCCCCCTTCTTGGGGTTGACCATTTTCATGCGACAAGGAAACGCCACGACCATTTTTAGTGGGAAACCCAGAAACGGAAAGGAACCATACTGGAATCCACTAGACAACTGGGGACCCATGCTTTGGTAAATATCGCCATGCCGTGGTGACGTCTCTCGCAGGCAACCAACCCAACATGCTATCACATCGAACCCAACTTCCACGACACCCAGCCAGCCAAACACGTCCGTAGACAAGGGAAATGACAGAAAACCAAAAACCAAACCGAACTTCGACCTTCTATATTTGCCAACTGAACTATACAAGCTTGGATCGGCCTTAGCCAAACAAGGTGGCCGTATACCGTAGACCGTATGCAAAATAACAATTCTACCACTAAAACAAAACGACACATCATAATAATGATGTTAATGATGATGATAATAACAACAGCAACTAAGCACAATTATATATGATTTAAACATCTACACTCAAATATCCACATCATCAATCAAACAAAAACACTGGAAGCTAAGTAAGCAATCAGTGAAACATAAGGAAGCAGACCAGAAAACTGCTGCCCCAATGTCAGCTCCTACAAGCATGTTGATTTCCGCTTGGTATCCCAAAAGGCACTGTCAGTGGAAAAAACATGGCCATCTAATTACTTCTGGGCATGCATCTCAACCTGGGTCCCCCCAGAATTCTTGTCTTCCTTTTGCGTGAAGAGGGTAGCCTCCGAACTCTGGACACCCATCGCATCGCTCCATGGCCCGCAAGCCCTCGGCCAGGGCGATGCGTAAGACCACACTCTCGGAGGTCCCGGCCCTCGCGGCCATGCCGACCTGGCGCAGCCTTGTGTTGGGGCTTTCCAAGGCGGGGGGGGCGGTTGGTGTGGGAAAGAAAAAACCACCAAAAGGCTTGGAGTGCGGGAAAAAAGCCATCGCCAGTTTCAGGGCACCGCCTGTTGACATCAGTTTTGGTTGCAGGGCATGAATCAAACGCTGGGTTGCTCTTTGGGAGTACAGGATCAACGGTTTAAATCCACCAAACAACACCTTGCCCAAGCCGGAAGGGAACCTGACAGCAACCATGCCCCTTTCTGTGATACCAAAGAAATCGTTAAAGTAATATCGTTGGACCGTTGGATGGCCGGTGTTGGAACGAAAGGCTGAGTAGGTGTAAGCATCAAAGGCTCCCCTATAAATTAATCATGTCGCTTTTCTGGGATCAGCATGCACACCCAAACCATGATTTTAAAGGCTTCTTTGCGTTTTGGAGGGCTTCGTTTTGATGGGGCCCCAGTTGTGGTTGGTACGGGCTGCAACCCATGGCAAAAGCAAAGCATGGAGCCCGGGTATTGGGGGGGGGGGCGGGGGCTTCGTTTGTGATCTTTTTGGTCTACTGCAAGTTCACAGACTCCAAAGACGGGGTTCCCATACTTGAATAAAGATGACGCTTCTGATCTGCATGGCCGCATGGGGTTTGGAAAATGGCTCGGGGAGGGCATTCCCGGGCACTCCCTTGTAAATTAACAGGGACTCCTGGATATATACATATATATATATACATATATTTTTATATACATATTCAGGGGTGGTTCAAAAAACGTACCCGATGCTTTTGATACATTGACTATGCACTGTAGTAGTAATGATTGATTTCGTTTGGAGGGTAGACTTTTTGAGAGAACTTGTACATACCCTCCCAAAGAAAAAATGTTGCTGCTGTAACCCCCTGATGCAAAGCTACCACAGGAGTCACAACCATGGTCATGTAAGGTCTAATAAAACGCCCCTGATATGGAATCCAAAAACAAAAGGTCTGCTAAAGGCTCTTTCTCATAACAACTAAGGTTTGGGTCAGGACCATTCGCAACAAAACCGTCTTAGCCGGAGGGGCTTAAAGCTCACTTGAACTTTCCTTTCGTTCACCGGGCCGCATATGTTTCCCTTAAGCGTTCATCTAGGAAAAGGAAAGCAACTAAATACTAGCCTGATTTGAAATCCATTGGGGCCTAATCACAATCCGTAATCCGCTGTTTCTTCTTACTCCGCAATCCGCGCTGCAACGTGTGATTCGAAACCTTCAGCTGGAGCATTGCAAACCCATGCAACCCACGATCTGCAATCCGTAAACTCGGTTGGTGTTGACCCTCTGCGAAAGTTTAAAACTTGTTGTGGGTCTAATGGTAAATCCACTGTTTGCAAACGTCCAAAAATCCAATCAACTTGCCAGAAAGGCAAACCGCGTAATCCGCAATTCACCAACATGATTTTAGGCCATTTTAGGATCTAAACAAGCTAGAAGTACTATTTGCCCTTCCGGAAGGTGAACCACCGCCACCATCAGCCCTGAAGCCGCCGCCGCCACCACCCTTTAGGTCGATATGGGAAATCCAGCAATCTTCCAGGTGGTTCTGGCACTGTTGCGCCCATTGCCTACAGAGGAAAAAACTGGCCTCATTATTTTACCATGATCAGAGTCACCCCCTAAGTGAGGGCTTAACCTAGTTTCTGACTTTGACAACCCCTAGACACAATCAAAGTCATGACCCCGGATGTAACAAATACCTGACGTTTAAGTGGTGTGGTACAGGACAGCAGCTGTCGCTCCACCGGTGCCTCTGCCCAGGGTCCCCACTGCACCGACACCGCCGCCATGTCCTTGGCGCAGCGGTAGGCAGCAAAGGAGTCCAAAAAGGCGTTGGCCGCACAGTAGTTGCCTGGCGCGAATGGACGTGGGTGAGTAGGTGGTTGGGTGGGGTGGGGGGTGGGTGTGTGGGTGGGTGTGGGTGTGGGTGTGGGTGTGGGTGTGGGTGTGGGTGTGGGTGTGGGTGTGGGTGTGGGTGTGGGTGTGGGTGTGGGTGTGGGGTGTGGGTGGGTGTGGGTGGGTGTGGGTGGGTGGGTGTGGGTGGGTGTGGGTGGGTGTGGGTGGGTGTGGGTGGGTGTGGGTGGGTGTGTCTTCAGATCCTCTGCTAACACTCGTTGAATCTTTAATGGTTCAAGTAAAAAATGTAACTTACCGAGACGGCTGGGAACCACCAAGTGAATAAGTGCACTTATAAGTGTAGACACCTGTTCGAGGGGATCGCATCATTTTGCAACACAAAGGCGGGGGGGGTGGTCGCCAGCGGTCTTTTTTGAATGGTTAGACGCTCAGGCCGCAGCAAACATGTCAACACACACCGGTCACAGGACAAAAGGCGAAGATGATCAATGTTCAACCCCAAAACTGGGATTTGATGCTGCTCTGCCCTTATGATCCCTCCCAACAACCAACCTAGAAGGGCACCGGCGCAGGATTGCCAAAAGAGCAGGTGCCGATTTCCACAATGGCCGTGCACCAAACAAGGTTGGGTGGTGGGAGGGTAAAAAGCCAAGAGCGAGTCCCGGACAAAACTTATTGTTTCCCAAAGAAGAAATTGGCAGACTGAGTGGGCCCCTGGTCTTGCTTGTGTGGGTGTGTGTCACACTTCCCTGAAACTGACAATCAGGTCCTCCCAAGTTCCAGCTCCCACAAAACTCTATGTGCTCTCCAACTGTCCATGTCCTCCACGACTACCAGCAAAAAGCTACCAGTAATTGTCAGTTGTGACATCTTCCCACCGTCCAAAGGACGCACCTTGGCCAGCGGTGCCGATCATGGCGGCCACTGAGGAGAAAAGCCTCGGCAGGTTCCAAAGGCTTCAATCCTCTCAACTCCCAAGCGAACCTATGGTTGCCATTCCCCCCCTCCCCATCCCGCCCCATCCCACCCCCGCATCCCGCCCACCTTCCCCCCCCTCCCTCCCCCTTGCCCCCCCCTTCCCCCCCCTCCCTCCCCCCCCTCCCCCCCCCCCCCCCCCCCATCCCCCCCCCCCCCCCCCCCATGCCGCATCCCGCCCCATCCCCCCCCCCCATCCCACCCCCCCCTTCCCCCCCCTCCCCCCCCTCCTTCCCCCCCCATCCCCCTCCCCCCTCAAAGCAACAAGACCAGTAGGGATGTTGTCGCCTCCCCGAACTTTCGAGAGACACCAAGCTCTTGGTGATGCCATTTGCCCCTTGAGAGCATTTGATCACATACGAAAACTAAAGACCAAGGTCCCGAGAACATGTCAATCATCACAGATATGCGCATTGCTTCGGCCCAACATGATGTGAGTTCTATGGAGTTGTGTGGCAACGCATCTCGGGAAAGCCGTGAGCTAAACTTGGGGAAGCCTTGACAACAGCCAGGGCCGGCCGAGGAATCCACTCACGCCACTCCCTGAAGATTAAGTGATTAAGCCAGAAACGGTGCCCTCCCCCAGACTGAACCTTCATCATTGAGGTCGTGATTTGCACTTGACACCCTCTTTGAAGTCAAAACGCACGGGTCGAGCCCGGGGCCAAAGGGACCCACTCTTTGTGCCTGACTCAAAAGAGACACCAAGAGGCAAAACCAGGAATGGAAGGAGAAGAGCCACTTCCAGTTGCTTAAGCCGGCTGGAAAACAATACTTCCAGTAGTGGTAGATTCCTTTACAAACACCAACAGTGGAAAACAAAAACAAACAAAAAAAGTGAAAGGAACATACCGCTCTGGAAAATTGGGAAGGGGGGGGGGCAGCAGTCAGCTTAGGAGCACAAAGTGAGACAGGTCCAAGCCCATGTCCTTGGCCGAGTTGTGCAAGTGCAAAGTTCCCTCCACCTTCGGCTGTAGCACCCGCTCCTCAGCTTCCAAGATGCACGCTGTTCACCCCAAGGGCAGCCTGCACTTCGACCCCCCACTTCTGAAGAAGCAACGGGACCTCGCGTCTAGAAACCTCTTTGGGTCCTAGGGGGCGTCAGCTGACTTCGTCCCAAGTTTGGCTTTCACCATCCAGAGTCTCACCATTGAAACACCAGCGGTGCGCTGCATTGGGGGACCCGAAGGCCTTCCTTTTGGATATCCTTCATGGAGAGGGATCCCAGAAACCTGCTCAAGGGCCAAGGGTGCGCTCCGGCTGAAGTGCCCTTTGCCACGAAGCACTGGAACATGGCCGAAGAATGAGTGAGCATGGAACCATGAGAAGAGCTCACCTTTTGCACTGGAGGTCTTGTCACTTCCCACTATAAGGCGTAGTTGGCAACTTAGTTTGGTTCAATTCAATGAGCCCAATTCCAGTAAGCCCGTTTTGAGTGCGGCGCGCCTGAAGCTCGCCATGCCCAATTCCCCTGGTGAGTGATTGCGCTTCTTATTTTTAGTGGCGAAGCCAGCAAAAAGAAAGAGGGAACACGGCTGTCACTGAGCACAAAGGTCTAACCAAGGCACCAAGTGCTCGCGTTGAAGCTCCGCCATGAGGTGGTCGTCCAGGACCCCCGCGGCGTGCCAAATGCCCTTGAGCCGGGCCTGCTTGTTGGCCTCGAGCAAGCCGAACACCCAGAAACACCAAAAACCTTCTTGGAACACCCTTTTTCGGGCTGCATCATTGGGAAACACCAGAGAATAAAGGAAACAAGCTGCCACGGCCAAGCCCTCTACTTCAGAGATACGTGGACCAAAGCTGGAAACTTGAATCATATGGAGTCCAACCCAAGAAACACACTCTGCAGCTCAACATAGAACCCAAAAAGGGCTCCGCCCCTTTTTAGGCGATTCCTCCAAGGATGTTAATCTGCAGGCGAGTGCCCTAAGCTCGAACAGGACGCTCATTTCCCGCACCCTCTCCCCCCCCCCCGCAGGGAAAGGGTTATGTGATGTTCTGATATAACTGTTGCATCAAAGCTATATATTGTCTTTTCCATGACCCCGTGCGACCCTCCGTTGGCTTGCGCTAGGGAAACGACAACAAAAAAACAGATCGTGTTTAGAAGTCCCTTTCTCACTTCCCAAGTGCATTGGCCAACAAAAAGTCTGACCTTTTTATCTGCCACCAAAATGATCCAAACACAAAAAGTGACTAAAGTCCGAAACGGAAACAACCCAGGAGGTGAGCTTTTCCGGAAGGGGAAAAAACAAAACGATCTCCCATGTCCCTGGCCTTCTCCAACGCTTGCTTCACTGCACTTTGGTCTGCGATGTCCCCTGGGACCAGCTGCACATCCGACAGCTTGGCAGCCTGTGGGCTCCAGCCATGGGGAAAAAGGTTACTCCTTGTCCTGCAATTGGTTTTCAAAATAGGGCCGTGCCCAAGAAAACGGCGGTTGCGACTTGCAACTTAGCACTAACCGGTTCCAACATGAAGTCACCAGTGAAGCAACCAACTGTCTCCTGGAACGCGCCTTGTCGAAAAGGCTGTGCAAGGTGTCGTCAGTCACACGGCCCGAGCGCGACATCAGCGCCAGGTGCCTGTCGCAAAACAAAAAAACAAAATCGTCTGCCGCTCTCATCCCCTGCCCCCAGATACCCTTCTAGTGGGCAACCTGAAATCTCCTTTTTTGTCTGCAGATGAAAGTCACTGTGGAAAAATGGCCTCTTCTAACAAGGCGCGAAGGAGATGCCACAAAGTGCCAGGCATCGTGGTTGGCAACCACTATCGCCATCGATTTTGCCATCCAAGCGATGGATTGAAAGGACGATGCCTTGAGTGTTCTAACGTGGAGAGCCCCCCGAGACAAGCAACATCCCAAAGTTGTTGGAAGAAACATGGCCCATAAGCCGCCAGATCCTCAAACAAAAGCTCACAGCCGAGCACTGCAACAGATCCCTTGGCTAAGAACATGGCTGGCGAGGAAGCAGGGCCGAGCAATCAAAAACCGCTGTAGGCAGCCAGAGAAGGCCACCGGAACACCTTGGAGAATCTCTGGTCTACTGCAACCTTGCAGAAACCGGCCCCCCTTTCTGCACCACTTTTACTGGGGGACCCCACCGAGAATCCACAGAACTGTTTGGATTTTAAGGGAGCCTTGAGGGAACCCCGCGCGCTTACCACGCCTAACGCCCTTCTCCGCCAACCAGCCAGCGAAGACCAAGCCCAAAGCGCCAGTGCCGCCGCTGAGCAAATGGCAGCTGTCTGCCTCGGTGGGCTTTCTTTTTGGGTGGCCCGTTGCACACGTTGTCCGTTGGTGCAAGCGATCGGAGCCCGTTTATGAGCCAGCGTTTGGGGCCCCCTGACGCGACCCTTCTCCAGCTTCTCTCATTTTCTCTTCGAAATGACGCCCGGGTGTCCTTGTGGCAAACACTGGATGGCTTTGGCAAATGACTGGAACACAACTGACAGCGGAACAATGGGGAGCCTTTTTGGCTTTATGGAGGGTGAATGGAGGGATTGCCCAGGTTGAGGCGATGGCTACAAAGGCTGCGTCCGACTCTCCACCAAACTCTCTGAGAGCAGGCCCCATAGCTTGTCTCATTCCAAGAGCAGGCCCACTGCCCACCTTCACTTAACACCCTGTCCGTGGAATCGACCTAACATTTTTAAGATTCTGGGGGTTGTTCTGGCCACAAAGTCCTACCCGCCCAATCCGACCCGCGCCTCAAAGGACGCCTCCTCCTCCGGCATAGCCGAGGTGGTGTCCACCAGGCGAGCTCCGAGCAGCTTCAGCGTGCCGCCCTCTCTGCGTGCCGCGAGCTCCGGCTCGGCGGTGGCCATGGCAGCCTGAACATCCACCTGAAACGGACACCCGAATCGAAATCCGGTGGAAGGGGTGCGACACTTTTTGAACTGGGCTCCTTCTTCTTGGCCTTTCAACATCACCCTACCGAACTCAGTCAACACTGGTTCAACAGGTGATTGTCAAACCGACCAGAATTGAAAATTGAGGGCTGGCACATGCTCCTTTTCACCTCCGCCTCCACACGGGCTGCTTGCCGCGTGCTTCTCTTGAATGCTTTGGTGCCTGACCCTGTCTTGCTCAATCGGCTTTTCGGCATATGCCAAAAGATGTGCTGTCGAACCAACCTTCCCTTTGCCTTCCCTTTGCAAGGGACCCACGCCTGGAATTTTTCTCCCAAGCTCTGCCCGCAAGGAGCCCCGGCCCGTGGGCCCATGGGCGCATGGGCGCATGGGCCCATGCCCTGCCTCCAAGTGTTGGGCGCTCTCCAAATCGAGGCACCTCACCTGGATGTCCGGGCGCTCGGCCCGCAGCGCCCGGGCCAGGCCCCACAAAGGCGCGTGCCTCGGCACCTGCGCCACGTCTTTCGCGTGCACCGCCGCCACCGCCCCGCAGGTGAGGAACCTGAGCACCCGCACGAGGCTTGCTTAACTCAGGGCTATCTGGAATCCCAAGCGCACCCTTCCGGGCACTAACAGTATCTTTGATTCACTCGAAAATTGGGGGGAGTCGCTCATAAAATGGAAGCTCCTTCATGGGATTTTCGGTCGCACCAGACGGAATGAAACCTCACAGCTTGGGCCTTCGTTGCGCTGTGGCATCTGAGAGGAAACTGGCCCCAGGCAAGGTTAGCAGGCAAAACCTGTGCAAACCGCTCTGAATTAAGCATCTTTGTTTTCTCACTTCCCGAGTGGATTGGACCCAAACAAGTGAAGCAACTGTCTTTTGCCACCAAAATGGTCCAAACCCAGAAAGTGACTAAAGTCCAGGAACTCAGGAAGTGAGTTTGGAGGGACACCATCACGAAAGCTGTGTTTTTGAGATTGCCTCCAAATGTTTCTTGAAGGGACTGAGGGTGTGAGGGGCACAAAAAATGTCTCCTCAAACCAACCTCGAAGCGCCTGGAAATAAAGGAAACCTCTAAAAACGGACCAAAAAGAGAAGCCCACAAAACAAAAAACGCTTTGGACAACTGAGGGGGGGCTTCCCCCAAATAATATTATTCATAATGATTTTGAAAGTTTCATGTTATTAATCCACACGGGACAGCGTCTAAGGAGCATGTTGGTCGGGAGAAAGCGGTGATGGTGTTGAAAGGGGGCATACAGGGAGCCATTGTACATGTTGGCCATGTTGCATCACTTTCCCTGGCTGTTTTGATGGGAGTCGACATGAACTATAGATCTGTTTAACACAGGATGCCCGTTTGGCTGTCCAGTTGCTCACTGGCACCCTGCTTGCTGACTGTTGGCAAGCGGTCCGGCGAGGCAGGCCCAAATGTGGTACACCCAAAATCCCAAAATCTCAGGTTCTCGTCCAGAGTTCGTCAACCTCAAAACACAACAGATTACTTGGCCATGGGTCAAAATCCCGCACCCCCAATCACCACTAAGATAGACCAAAATGGGTCACCTACCCCAAAATGGGACCCCATTAGTCTTGACCCACAGCCACTTGGTCGCCGGTGACTCTGCAAAAAGCCACGGCGCCACAGCTCCGGCAGCTCGGTGCCCGGGGGAAGCTTCACCAGCGCCTGGATTTTTGGCTCGGGGGGTCCTATGGTCACAGCTGCGCCCTTGCGGGGCCTTTGTCGCTGGATCTAGAGGACCGCTCCCAAAACGGGGAAGCAAGGGCACCACTGGAGGTCTGGAATCACATACTTGCAACACCAACCACAAAATATAGAAAGCATCAGGCCATAAGCTTGCTACGAACCGGTTCGGTGTGTCTATTTGTCCAGTCGGTTTTGGACGAATATTCCATGTGTTTGGTGGTAGTTTTAGTAAATGGAAGTTATGTTGTTCTTGTTCCCTGATTTAAATGGGTCTTTCGTTTAGCTTGTTCTCCTGGATGAACAAAAGCCTGTGGGGGTGGCTGCCGGCAGGGCCAAAATGAAGCCAGCCTGAGTGAGTGAAGCAGAATCCTCTCCTGATCTCCATGAGGCTTCCTTTTAGTGAAGCTCAAGGCTACGTGGATGAATCCCAAGTGCACCTTTCACTCATTTGTATGTGTTTGATTCACCGCTCGAAATGGCGTCGCCCATAGAATGAAGCTTTTTGATGGGTTGTCGGTCGCATTTACTCACCTCCTGATTGGCCAAAAAGTCTGAACTTGCTGTATGCCACCAAAATGGTCCAAACCCAAGTGACTAAAGTCCAGAAGCTCAGGAAGGGAGTTGCCTTTCTGACTACTAAACCAGTGGTCAATGTATAGGGGGGTTGTCCTGTTGAGGGGATCCTTCACTGGGTCAAGGTGCACCCTAAACATCGCCGAAGAAGCAACTCCCTTAAAACTAAACCAGCACATTCGCAAATGGTTAAAACCTGCAAAAGCGCGGAGAAGCAAACCATGTCTAAAACAAGCAAGGAAAATCCCTTCAAACCAAACCAACAAATGTTTAATTTAAAGCAAGCAAAAGGCGGAAGCAGCAGGGAGCCCCGTCCAGCGAGACCCAGCCCCCAAGCGCCGTCGGAGCGGTCGCGGCGCCTTCATCAGGCGCAAGGCATGGTCCAGGCCGGAGAGGCTGTCCTCCTGAGCACCACAAGCCTTTTGGAAGACGTCAGGTGAAACAAAGGTCAAGATGCCACCAACAAGAACGTGAGACACAGGAAAGCTGGCCAATGGTCAAACAAAGGTCAAACAAAGTGAACATGGGACACATTTTTAACCAAAGGTGAAATCAGCCGTTGGAATGTATGATAATCAGCCATTGAAATCAGCCATGAGATAATCTTTGATCCGTCTCCCCAAACAGAAAAGGAGATTTCAGGTCCCTTCAAGCACTGCATCTCACAAGGCTCAAAACAGCTCGTGACCATGGTCCATGTTTTTTCCCTGCCGAGATGGGTCCATTTCAAACCCCGGTTACGATGTTGAGAACCCAAGCGGAACTAGTCACCCGCACCTAGTTTTGAGAAGCATCAGCAGACACTGCCTGCCTTTTTCTTGCCCCAAAGCTCAAGGCGTGATACCTCTGGACAAATCGCCCTTTCAAAAGACGGGGTGACGGGTTTCCTGGTATCACATGCGTGGGGAACCGGTACCGTTTTCTGGTACTTCATGTTACATCTGCAACCCTCTCCGACCAATCTTAAAAACAATCGAGCGAAAACCCCACGTCTGGGACCCCTTCCCACAGCAAACCCAGCGCTTGTTGCCACTGCTGTGGGGAATCCGGAAAATCACCGCTTAAGAAACGGAAAATCTCTGGATACCAAGCACTTGTAAGGGCCAATCAGCACTTAAGAACTGACCATCTCTGGTTGCCTGGTAGAAACACAGCTGGCCTTAAAGAACGCCGGCACCGGTCGCGCAAGCGCCGCGCAAGCCCCGCGCCGCGTTCTCCTGGGATAGGCCCACGGCGCTGACGATGTGCGCGAGACCCTCCACGCCGCCCTCTTCGATGGCCTCCAGAGCCTCCTGCGAGTCCGCTGACATGAGCCACGGGCAAAATGACAGGGAGAAACAATTGGTGGTGGGAAACACACACGAATTTCACGAGTCCCATGGTTGTGGGAAAAAACTTGTTTCCCGAAAGAAACGCGGGGAACTGCGTGAGTTTCGTGCTTGCTTGTGGGAAATACTGGTTTCCCAAAAGAAACGCGGGGAACTTCGTGAGTGCCGTGCTTGGTTGTGGGAAATGCAGCGAGTCCTAAATTTGGTGTGCGCCCTGGTTCTCGTGGGAAAAGGTTCAGAGCTCCTCACCCCATGTCCCAAATGAACTATACCTCACTTCCTGAGTGAATTTTGGCAAAAAAAGAACTTATTTCCCACAAAAATGGTCCAACCCCAAAAAGCGACTCAAGTCCAGGAACGCAGGAAGTGAGATACCTCGGAGTTTGGGGGGACCAACCGACATCACCTCTCCTCCGAGATGCCGGACACCTCCGCGCCCGGCAGCTTGGCCAGTTCTCGGCTCTCCTGGCCAAAGAGACCCACCTACCTGAGAGCCTGCAGCCGGAGCCTGCCCCCCTCCCCGTCTTCAGGTGGGATCTCTAGGATCAAGAAAGGAGGTCAGGAAACAAGAGAAAGCCTGGTTGTTAATTCACATAAAGACGGACTACGCTGGTGGGATTGCGCCCTGCCCGCGTGCTCAGGCCTTTTCTTGGGCGCTCCGAATGATTCTTGCTGGTGCCCAACTCCTGCTTCTTCAAGGAACATGAGTAAGGGACACCCTAGACGCATTTTCAAAAAACCCTGGTATTTGAGTGCGGGGCTTGGTGCTCTTTGCTTTGGAGGGGGCGTTTTGCTTCATGCTACTTTGAGGTGCTTTGAGGTGGTCCAAGATTGAGGTCTTGAGGCAAATGGCCTTCCAGACACCTCTGGGTAACAATGTTGGTCCGCCTAATTTGCACCTCACCTAATCTTTGTTTTCTGGAATTGCTCACACCAAGCAGCAGAGCTCCGTTTATTCCCCTCACCCCCCAGCCCTAACTCACTGAGAAAGGACCGGGATGGTGACGTTTGAGATCACCTGCTGGAGCCCGGCAATCTTTGGTTGTCAAACTCAGGGACGCCTTCACAAACGCCTTTTCAGCCAACATGACGCAATTGCTGACGTTGTGCAGAAAATCAGGAACCGCCCCTGAAGGAACATGCAATTGGGGTGAGCTTGCTTTACCTGCAGTTGAACTCATCACATTTTCAGGGGGTCCTTGTACGCCCCGTTCAACATCGCCCCATTAAAACATTGTGCGGGCCATGGAAAATGAAGACAGTGCAAAAAATATGGCAAAATAATCATTGCACAAACAATCTACATTTGAGAGTTTTGGTTCTCAACATAGGTTCGCCTAGGCTGCCTCCGTTTTGCTATTAACTCAAAAATTGACATCAACAAAAATTGATAACACCTCGGAAACCAAAAGCATGGAGTTCGGTAAGTTTTGGGTCCAATGAACTTACGCTCCCGTGAAATCTACAGTATCTGCCCCAATCAACCGTTTTCGTGACCGGGCTTAATCGTGCCTGACCCATTCAACGTGATTTAGGCCCTTGCGGAGAAGCTCAGGGTCAGGAGTCGGAAGCCTTGAGCTCTGGCAACTTTGGGTCGCTCCTGGGAATCCTCCGCAGCCAGCACCAGGATACGAGAAGCCTCTGCCTCCTCCTCGGAAGCCTTCGGCTTCAGCTCGGACCACGCCACCTGAGCGTCGCTTTTTCGGAGAGGTTCACGGCTCATGCGCTGCTGGGGAGGCTACACCGAGGGAATCGCGGGCCCAGAGCCCGTGGAAGGGTTGGCTGCGTCAGGTTCGGCAGGGGCTTCGCTGGCGTTTGTTTCACAAACAGCTCTGACATGTGTGCTTTCATTTAGTTGAATCAAGTTAAACCCATTTGAAAGCGAGCGATGAAACGCAAATAAAACAGACATTGAGAAGCAGGACTGATTGAAGGCCTCAAAGTGAGCAGAGCATGGAAGGGACCGCGGTGGCTTCGTGGAGGCTTCGCGAAAAACGGCCCATGGTTTCTGGGAAATGCACAGTCAGTGCTCTTCCGGTAGTCTTCCGGTAGTCTTGCTGTAATATTCCTGTAGTTTTGCCTAGTCCTTGTGAAAGTGACTCTGAACATCAACACTTGGCATGCTACTGCCATGAAAGCACATAAGACACTACAATAACGAACTCACCTTCGTAAAGTGGCTTCGCCTGTGTCAATGTTACCGGGCTACGCGAAAGGATTCAAAGCTGCGCTGCACACAATGTATCACACAGGTGCCTTCGCGGACTTTTGGGAGTTCCCCCCGAAGCTAAAATCCATCATCTGAAAAAAAAAAAAAAAAAAAAAAAAAAACGCTACTCGCCTGATCCTAGGTGTCCTTCTGAAAAAAACGATGGCCGGTAAATGGAACAAAACCACTCTAAACAAGTGCCAACTATTTCTATTCAAACAAATGCAAAAAGGAGACCTATGCGCCTGATGTTCATGGAGCGCACCAAGAAAAGGCCTCCTTTCTTTTGGGGTAGGCTGATCTTGGTTGCTGTTGGCCCTGCCAACAGTTGCTAACTTTTGTTCCACTAGAAAATCCACCAAGTTTGCGCCAGAAAATTAAAGTCTGAAGATCCAACCAAATAGCCATAAGGTACTTTAAAGGCAAACCCCTCCGAACACAAAAGAGCAAGGAACTCTGGAGGCTTGGGGTCAGCACTCTGGATCTGTGGGTCATGGTCATGGACCTCTACAATGTGTTGTCTAAGTTGCAAATTAAGGGTCCGATGACCAGCCCTAAGCCCACATCCACAGATGTTCTGAGCTTGCACCTAAGCACATGAAGCATGGCCGGCTTGTTTTCAACAGGGCTAAATGATTGAAACGACTTAAGTGGCGTCGGGTGATTGACACCTTAAACATGAGGAACTTGAAACCACCATTGCTTGTTCTATATGTCGCTATACTTGTTTCAGCAAGCATTGCTTAACCTGCCCGTGTTGGACCATGAGAGCCTCCCTTGCTCTATTTTACTTTCGGACACTGTAGATCACTTGGACCCGCTACCTGTTACGGAGAGAAAGTGAACCTATATAAATATTAACAAGATTCACCCCCTTTGCATGCGGTCTGTGCGCTGAGTTTGCTGCTCCCCATCATCTTCTACATCAGTCCCCTGTGCTGTTTGTGCTGGTTCTCATCCCGACTTACATCAATATCCATGCCTTTGTTGAAGTTGTTTGTAAAGCATTACTCCTGGCTTACCTGAGTCTTGCAGCCCTGGTTGCGGAAAGCAGTCTCCAAATCAGCGGCGACTTGTCTTTCGAAGCTACTGCGTTGGGTGTTGTCGCCCATCCTTCAAGGGCCAGTGATCATCACAATCTGCAAGAAGACCTTCCAAAATAGTGAGAAGCTGCTAATATGGATGTCACCGCTCTTCCAACAAGAAATGAAGGAGATTAGGTGTACAGTTCTGCCTTTCAACCCTTGGTGTTTACAAAAAATCATTTGCATTGGTTGCCACTCATTTGCGCTTCCATCTCCAGCATTGCTGAAGTGCTTTCCCGAACGCTCTACCACTGGAACAAAAGGACAAAGTGTGCACAATCGGCAGAATCCGGCGGATGAATGGCAAACAATAGCACAATTTGGTACATTAAGAGCAACAGCCTGTGGAAGACTATCGGACAAAATGCCGACACCTGTTGATAGTTTTGAAGAGAAGCGGTTGACTTTGAAAACAAACCCACTGCAACCAGGACCAGAAAGCTCCGCTAAGCAGTGGTAAACGCGCTCCGCACCCTGCGCCCGACTTTCGAGCGCCCGCCGTTCGAGCGCTCGAGCGCCCGCTGGTCAGGGCGCTTCGTAGATCTTCTGATCGTCCTCGGCCATTTGGCTCTCCATCGCTTTCTTGATCTGCTCCGGAGTGACCTGCAAGTGTGTCTGCTTTGTGGGGATCTCATTTGTGGGTGGCTTTTCAAGGGGGACCAAAGGAAACCAACCTTTGTGGGGGGTCCCAGCATTTTGAGACGAGCTCAGCAAACAAGAACCATAATCTGACTGTGTGGTCTGAGAACCGCATGGCACTCTCAGGCCGCGAATATATCTCTTGCATGACACATGCAAAAACAGAGGCAACCCAGCAACGAAAAACCATGATCAAGCCTCATGTTTGGGGTCCACCATTTGGAAACATGCCCATATGAGTTGCCACTCCGTACAATAAACTCCTTTGCAACCACTTACGATTGGAAAGGTCGCCCTCTTTATACACATCAATTGTCATACATGAGACGGGTCCCTGTCCCAAGTTTAGAGGATTTAGATGGTACCGACGGCGGGAACAGAAATTACCCCTGAAGCTTATTTCCCCATGGCACGCCAAAGATACACCACTCATTCTCAAAATCTCATTTTGAACCTCAAAAAGCTCCATCACCATCTCTTTGTTGTGCTCCGTGGAGCAGCGCTACAGCCCCCCTTAAGGTCTCGAATGGGAGATCCAGTCTCTGGAAAACTCAATGCTGGAGCCTTGCGGAAGGCCACGTCTGTGCCCTTGAAGAGCACCTCCCCCTCCTCCGAGCAGACCGTGGAGTCGAAGACCTCCAGTAGAAAGGGCGGCTCCGCGAATTCGGGGATTCGGGGATTCGGGGAGCCGGCAGAGTGGAAAATTTCAACTCCCTTAAAGCAATGGATTCCGGAGGAAACTCGACCTGAAAGGGAGCCTCTCTCATGAACGGGGGGTCACTCAACATTTGTTCAACTTCCAAGCCAAGGGGCTGTATTTGCGTGGGAGGTTCTTTACAATCTGAAGCTCTTGTTTAGGCTCCGGCCACCAGCCAAGATCTAGCAAACGGTCGGGAGTTGTTTAGTATTCCTGGACCGGTAACTTTTGCCCTTTAGTGGGAATTTGTATTGGTTCTCCGCAACTCCCTCCGACGACTGCAGAAAATTGGCCCCCAGAAAACGCGAGAACCACTCTCACTTCCTGAATGGATTGGCGAAACAACTCCAAACTGTGTTTTGCCTCTAAAATTGTCTTCCCAAAAAGTATAAAGTCCAGGAACTCAGGAAGTGAGAACAGAACCCACAACTGCGCTTCTTCCCTGCTCGACTTTTCGGAGCTCCAGGCGCAGGTGGGGCCACCGGCCTTCGCGGGAGTTTGGGGGGAAGGTCCGAAACGAGGGAAAAAACTCGCGCGCCTGCTCTTGCTCAGAGAAAGTCTTCAGGTCCAAGTGCACAAAGTACTGCCTCACTGAGATAAACGCCCAACCCAAAGCCGGGTGGGTTGAAACAAGCGAATTGTCCGGCTACACTGTCATGTCAAGCATACACCAATGGTCAACAGCCTGGGCCTAGGCTCACCCGTTGGGGGGGGGGGGATTTCTCATATTTCACTTGTGACCTTAAGTGAGGGCCGCGCCGAAAAAACGGTTCCTGCATGGGTGAGGTTGGTAGGTAGGACCAGTGAGCAAAAAAAAAAAAACGGCCTCCAGGGGCTAAACAATGTGCTCCTGGGGTCTTCAATTTGCCAGTTAGCATTGTTCCTGGCTTGCGATATCTGGAAATCAACTGTACTTCTGATATGACGTACTACCAGAAAGGGGAACCTGCATACCCAATGGCTACATTCACAAGTGGACAGTAACTGGTTGAAGTCAACAAGACCATAGCAAGAAAGGTGATTCAATATCTTCTTCGGATCAGACGTTGGGCAAATCCCCACCAAAAAGCAGACGCTTAAGTATATCTGCTGATTGATTGTGAGGTGGCACAACAATGGCTTTAAGCTGACAAATCCCAGCTACTCAAACAATCCATTGTTAATTACAAGCTACACGTTCCTTAAACCAACACCATCTCTGCGACCAGGTGGCTCATCCCGGGAGAAGTTGCGGTGGACGTGCGACTGGCCGGCGGCTGCGGAGCAACTACAGCCGGAACCAGCCCGCCAGTGCTTCCGGGCAAGCCACACAAAAGAAGAAGATGCTTCGCTGGTCAGTGGTGAAAAAAAAAAGAAAAAGAGCAAAGCAAACGCGCGAAAAGGTTGGCTAGGTACGACAACTGCTACTTACTCAAAAGGACCATGAAGCCAGAGGCGCGTGTACCTTTGGCGCTTTTTGTTCGCGCAGGGTTCTCTATAAGTTCCCCTTCAACATCACCCCAATGAGAAGCCCTGACACATGGACAAATTGTACACCTTGATGCCCTCACTTGCCCAAAGGACCTCGAAGAAAAGAAACACCTTTTGGGAGCTTGACTAGGCAGGTGCTGAAGGTGGGCCTGGTTGCTCACTGGAAAGGGTCAAACTGGCTTGGATCGCTAGCGTCCCTCTGTTCAGGCACCTGGAACTCGAGCCTGGCTTTCCTCGTTCAGAATGGCTTCCTTCCCACGGGAAGCAAGGTTAACTTCTTGTTGGTGGTTGGTTCAGGGATTTTATTCTGAGGTGTCCCCTATGTGTCCCCTATGTTCTACCGTTTTGGCCAAAGGAAACCAACGCTAGCTCTTTTTCAGGGCACCCTTTTTGGGATCACTGGGCAAACCGAAAGGAAAACCACATTTCTTAGGTTTCCCCCTATTTTCACACATCCTCATGTGGCTCGAACTTAATTTGGAACCACCTCAAAAGCGGTTGGGGCACATGAATCTTCCCTGTAAATGATATCCACCAAAGGGTCCCCCGTTCTTCATTTACACCCATGTGAACTTCGGACATCGACGCTCTCGGGATTCTTCGGTCGCCTGCACCCGTCCCATGCCGGAGAAGATCTTCAAAGGCGCGTCCCAGCCCACCATGGTGGCGCCCAACACGTGGATGGTGCCTTTTGCCCGGCTTTCTGTGTGCGAAACCAGCCGCTGGGCATTCAAAGGGAAAGCCTGGTTTTCTGGGGTATTTGGCCAATTCCCTGGATAATTTCATTGGCTGACTCTCTATGAATGGTGTCCAATGACATTGGCTCTTGGTAAGAAACCTCCAATTCCTATGGTGTTTGTTTGGTCATCCCCTTGACTACAGTGGGAATGTGCAACTTTGGTTCCTTCTTGTTTGAGACTTGAAAAAGAATAAGGACACCGGGCCTAAATGTGGAACCCAAATGTGTGAGTGCTCTGCATTTGGTCTCTTTTTGAAACCTCCCAACAAGAGGGGACCCACAATGACTCAATTGGGGCCTATGAGCTGGGGGTGCACTCATGTTCTGGTGGCCTATCTGAAGTGTGCGTGCGTCTCATGCGGCTAAGACGCATTCCTTTTTGGAGTTGCTTGCTTCAAGGGAAACCACAGGAGAAACTCCAATGCGTGGATGAGGATGGGTGCATCATCTGTTAAAATCGAACCCTCCTGTTTGCGAGGTTTAAACGGGAAACACACATGGGGAGACACCCCTTTACTTTGGTGGGGTTCCCTCATTGAAAACCACACCCACTTCTGAACAGGCTCCGGAGCTTGACCAGATGTTTGGACCTTTTGCTCACTTTTGGCTGGTCAGCTGGTGGAAAATGGTGGAAACTCACTCAAAGGCCAACACAAGGAAGTTGCATCAGGGCTGGCCCCAATTCTTCCTGAACGTAAAGATAGAAACCCAAAGCACCCAACTTTATTTGGAGGAATCTCCAGAAAGGAACCCTTGCCAGCTTGACTTTCAAGGGGAGTAAAGCGAGCAAGGCTGAACTCGGAGAAGTAGGATTGGAAGGATTTGTTTCTTCCCTTACCAAGCAATGTTCCTGCGCCAGAGTCCAGTAGGTCCAAACGCAACGACTTCCGGCCGGAGCCTTGTTCTAAGGTCTGACATACCCGAAATGAACACACCCCACCCCCCACCTCAATTCCAGACGCAAGGATGAACTCTGGGGCATGTACTTCGCATAACGTCTACCCTGTGTGACCAACCAGCGATGTTGGTGTCCATTTCGCCCCCAAAACCGGGTAATTATAATACTGGAAGCAGCGAGCCCAAAACCTCACGGTAAAGAATGAACCCGCTGGCTTTTCACGCCCAGCGCGCGGTTGGGATTGCTCCCCTCAATAAAAAAAACCACCCGGGTCTTGATGGTGGCCATGTCTTGGGTCTTGGTATGTGTAGCCAATGTAGTTATAGCCACTGATGTTGGTTGACGTGTCAATCTCAGGATCCCTTGTATGAGGTGCGTCTCTTGTTGACTTTTTCCATGGTTGGACCCCACGCAAGTCCAAGCGTTTTCCAATCACTCCCTGGCATGACGCCCTCTGGGGAATCACCCTACATGTCCAAATAAACCTTGGCTCTGGGTATTGGACATTATGTTGGGTAAATGCCCTAGGGTGTAATCCCAGGGTGTAATAGGACAATTCGAGAGGCACCGAATTTTAAACCTCCAAAAAGGCGAAGCTTCGTCACTTTGGTCGCTCCTATTGCAATGGCACGGCCGCTATAGTGGGGGGCCCTTGACAAGCATAGGACATTTCTCCTTTGAACATGGCGCCAAAAACACCCGCTTCCAATGGCCATTCTTCAGACTCAGACGCCAAGCAAAACGCCAACTCTTGATGATTGAAACGGGACATATTTCGGACACAAGGGGCCAAAGGGCAAAATGGGTTACTTCAGCTTGGCAATGACAAATGGGCCACAGACTTGCTGGTTCTCAGGTAATGAGAAATGGCATAATCCCAAGAAAACCATCCCCTATGGTTTTCTTTATTCGGGAATCCCCCACACCGGTTCATTCAACCAAAACCCGGACTCGCTGTCATTCCCTATCGCACCAGCAAGAAAAGTCACAGCAAAGCCAAGACCCGCGAGAAAAAAAAAAGAAAACAAACACTTGCCAGTTGTAGGGCCCCCAGATCCCTATTCTGACGCAAAGAAATTGGGCTAAATGGAACCTAAGCTGAGGCGAGGCGCCGTCCAGCGTGGCCGGGTGCATGTAGAAGCCCTGGTTTGGCTGCGACCTGAGAGGGTTCCAAGGCTGAGCGGAGTACTAAACCCTCGTTCAGTGACTCTGGTAAGGTTGGTTTGGGGCTGGCTTTTGTTTGGTTTAGAGATGTTTGGGTTGGCGTGCAATTGGCTTCGGGATGTTTCGTGGTTGGTTTGGATTTGGTTTTGGGTTGGCTTAGAAAACCGACACCTTTTTGGTTGACGACTTGTCTCTCTTCCGTGGATTGGCCCAAACAAAGTAACCAAACTTTTATTTACCGCCAAAATGGCCCAAACCTCAAAGTGACTGAAGTCCAGGAACTCGGGAAGTGAGTTGAAGCCATCAAGAAGGTTTATCCATTGGGCCTACAACCAGATAGAACCAAACAGTAAAACAGCAAATAGAAGAATCAACGATTATCGCGTAGAAGCCCCGCACCAAATGGCCAGGTCGGGTTCTAAGCGAGTTTCCACTGCCCCCAGCCCAAACCCCAGTCTCCCCCGTCTGAGAGCCCGGCTCCGGCGAGTGCTCCAGGCGGCACAACACGTGCCGGTCACCGCCTGTCCGCGAAACCCAACCCGAAAGCCCCCTCAGAGTTGCGAATTGGAGCCAAAGGTCGGACCACAGGTGTTGAATTGGGTCTACTACCCTCCCCCCTAACCCCCCCCCCGCCCACAATCATGTGATTGGTGGAAGCTGAAGATTGGAGGGTGTTGGAAGACTCTTTCTTTTTGGGGAAGCCCTCTGAACACTTCCATGATTGTTGGAGAGAGGGTATCCATCCCACTTTGGGTGTTCCTTTCTGGAAATACAACATTGGAATTCCTTGCACATCATGCAATGAAGCATGTTGAACCACAACATTTGAGCCCCGCTTGGCCAACATGTCGCTGCCAGCCCAACCTTCCACAGCTTTATGGCATTTGCCTCATCTCCCGCACGAAGCCCTTTACCAAAACCTGATTCCGCCCTCGAGAGGGAAACATCTGCCATGAGGACCCAAAGCTTCAAGACTCAGCAATCCTTATCCTGTCCAACACTTGACAGCTTCCCTACAACCTAACATTTACCCCTTCTGAGGCAGGGTGTCGATTTTTGTTCGCGGGGGTCCTCAAAAAGCAACACAAAAGAGGCATTCATCCCTGTGTCATGTTATGCACGGAAATTGGGCTGATGGACAGTTTGATCAATCTTCGATGCGCTGATTCACTGACTGGGCGGCATAGCCCAAGCAAGGAGTTAATTGCTCTGATTCCCCATCTGCCCAATAAGATGAACCTTTGGGGGCCTTCGACCGAAACTGTGCCAACTGGGACAACCAACACAGACGCTTCAAAGGTCGATTCGCTTTGGACGCCATTGTGCCCGCTTCCGTGCCTTCCCCGGAAGGCGCGGTGCGCATACGCTGCATCTGGCGGCAAACCTGGCGATAGGGCCATTCGCCGGACCCGCCCTGACTTGCACGGAAGGCTTGCCTCCCGAGGTGAGACATGTTTGATGGGTTGATGAGGAACTGGTGTGGATTTGAAGGCACCTGGGTTGGTCATTGAACCCAAAAGTTGAAGCTCAAACGAATGAGCAACCAAGGAACTTCGCATGTAGCCTGTAAAGAGGTCTTCTGGGTGCACTCCTTTCGCATTTGATGACAGCTCTCCACACTGGCTGGAGGACAATTTCTGTTTGCTTCTCTGGCGCCACTGAACAAGACATATTTGTCAGTCATGCCCGTTTCCCCATCCACTGATGCAGCCATGCTATTCTTGAATGCAAAGCCGTCCAACCATGGGATGGGCAAAGAGCAACCAATATGTCGGTTTCAACATGGCAGCGCTGACTCTATCGAGACTGTGCCGCACACCTGACGGATGTGGCCAACTTAGTCCTCTCATGTTCTGCCTTCAGCCATGGCCAAGACCCGACAATCACTGGTGAAATCAATCCAACCAAAAACGGGCATCAAAGCCAGTCAGTGCGATCCGATGCCAACGCCAGTGGGCATCCCTAAAACTCATCGAGACTATCATTTTCTCCTTGGTCTCCATCTGCTATTTTCTGCGGCAGAAGGAGCGAAGGGCATGGTTGGCAGATTGGCTAGGTCCCTATCCACTAATCCTGCGACTTTCCCTTTTGGTGAAAAGAGGAACTGCAGGTCGAAATCCCCACCAATCCAAACTAACAATTACTGGGAAGCTGACCTTTTGCTCCATGCCTAACGCCTTCAACTAGTCCCTGCTTTGTTTCTCTGAGTGCCATTCAGCGAGACTCAGCCCAAACCAAACAGATTGCATGTGCCATGTACTCCGGCAAGCTTGTTGTATTTGTTGCTTTGTGGCTCCGCCCGCTTGCAATCCTCTGATTTGCTCTGGGGATACGCGTTTTGCGAATCACCCGGCCTGGAATCTGGGACCCAGCCACAGGCCGCCCTTGTGGATGGCCGCATACACGTCCTGGACCGTGGAACTGGAACCCGCAGAAAAGGCGAGGCGCTCAGGCGTCAGGGTCGCAGCACCTCGTGCTCTGGGAAGCACTAAAAGAACGAGCAGCTAAGCTTGAAACCTGCCCGCTGAGTGGCTGATGGACATGTGCCGACTTGTTCGAATTCACAGCCCCAAAGTCAGGTCAAGTGTATTTGAAATGAGCTGTCATCAAGCCCCAAACCGGTCGGCAACTGGGCGCCCACCATGGGGCAACAGGAGGACCTCCCGCGGTGTGACCCTTCCAACAATCATGGAAGCAAAAAAAATGGTTTTGGAAGACTGGCATCCTGTTGAAACGAGCGCGTTTCCCTTTCCACGGCTGGAAAAGGGGACTTTTTGCAAAGGAATCTCTGCAATGGCTCCTTGGGATCCACCTCCTCCGTGCACATGCCGCGCAATTCCTGGCCGGGAAAGATCCGCTGAAATGCCACAACCAAACATCAACCCACATAAAGTAAGCTCAAGAATCACCATGCGGTATATCCGTGTGATTCCTTGATCAGGCAAGAAACTAATTCTAAATGAGGTCAATCAACCCCCCCTCTCCCCGGCCCGTGTTGTTTGGGGGAACGGTCCACACCCACACCTTATGCGGCAATCCCGGTGGGACTGCCGCCCTTGTGCTTTTGGATTGGTGTATCTTCTCTGATAGGTTACCCCAACCAATATGAAGAGGTCCAAATGTTTTCAACCAAAAAGCTTATAAAGTCAAAAGCCACAGATTCCAGCGGGTGGCTTTCGGGCTGCCACCTCTGGGCTTACGGTCTGCATCTTGGAAAAGGGATCCGGATCCAGAGCCCAACGAAGCTTTGCGTTCGCCTGCTTCCTCTTTGGCTCCCAGACGCGCCATGGACGTCCAGGTCACCACAAATCAGGCGCTTTGGTTTGGATTGGACGCGTCGGCTAGCTGCACGTTCGGAATCAGGGGCTATTTTCTAAACCGCTTCAAGCCACCAATTCAAACCAAACCAAGTTCAAACCAAGTCCAAACCAAACCAAACCAAGTCCCAACCAAACCAAATCCAAAGCCAATGCAAATCCCCAAACCCCACTAAAGGCTACCAAACAGAGGCCCTGCCAACAGCCATCCCCGGCCTCCAGGTCGATAGTGGCCGCATCCGCCAGCCCCCGTCCGATGCGGCCCTGGCAGAAGCGCAAGTCATGTGGGGGGCGGGGGGGTACTCAAAATAGTGCTCTAACTTAGACTGCTTTATGTCCCTAACACAAACCACAAAAGGGGTCCATGTTCAATTTCGTGCTAAAAACCAACAAGGGGGTCGAATCGCTTTTTTGGCAAACCCCCAATGACCAAAGGATTCGGATTATTCCCAAAGAGGAAATACGGGAAATTCCCCTGGTAAACGACCTTCATGGCTGAGCTCGTGTTACCCCCAGAGCCCGTTTCTTGCCCAAAGAAAGAATCGAAGACTACGCCAAGCGCTCCATTTGGGCTGAACAAATCACTGGTCCCATGGTCCCAGCTGATTTAGAGAACCACCACCACATGGTGGTTCTTGGATGCATCCTGTAAGAAATTCTGAAGGAGGTCCAGGACCAAACACCAACGATGCGGAGCCAGGGGCTTTTTGAGGACTAAAGCTGCGTCTGCGGAAAAGGCGGGGAGGTGGGGAGGGGAGGGAGTGGGTTGGGGGAGCAGCGGAAAGAGGCCGTCCGAAGATTGCGCAGTGCCGCCTCGCAGTGAGTAATCATCTCATCGCTGTCTCCACGCCGGCTGCGCATCTCGAACTTGTCACCCATCCTAGGCAAAGAGAGCTCCAAAATCGCTGGCATTCCACATGGTTTCGCTTTAAAAGACCCCCAAACAAGCACCGCCCGCTTTCCCAAAAAGTAAAGTAATCTTCCAAAACCCGTCTTCAAACCCAAAACAAATCCTCTAAACCTAGAGAGCCCTGCTCGCTGACCCGTGGAAAATCAGCTTGCTTTGGGGGATTCGGACTCAAACATCCTTCAACTTCCAAGCCGAGCCACCGCATTTCTGTGGGCAGCTTGGGAAAGGAAAGTGGCCCGGGTTTGGACCTGTGTCATCTTCTGTGCTGTCTTGTTCTTGGAGCCATGTTGCGGGACGACCCGGTGGGCCCCCTAGGTTGCATGCGCGAAACTTGGGTGGGGCAATGGTGTCTTCCCCGAAGATCTTTCCGCATGCGAACCCCGGGTGTCCGGTTGGATCCGCGAGATCACCTTAAAGCAGAAACCAAAAAAACCAGCGCCCGCGGTCCAAAGGATCTAATGTGGTAAAGCAAACATGCGGGGAGTGGGCAAGCATAGGCGATGGGCAAATACATGTTCCCTGCAAGTCATGCCCTCAAATCTCAGTGTGGCCTTGACTTCCAGTGGCCAAGGACAAGAAAGGTTCCCCGTTTTTGGATAGTTGATATTAAAGTAAAAAGGGTCCACCATCCCCCGAAAAGACCCAGGACTGGCTTGCTCTGAATGCGAGGCACTGACAGAAGCGCAAAAAGACCGTGGTGGCGGTCGGCTCGTCCGCATTCTTGGGCACAACCAGTGGCCACGTCATGGCCTTGGTCTCCGTAAGCTTTTTTGCAGGGTTGCGTGAAACATGCTTTAAGCAAATTTAAGCAATGGTGCTTGAAACATGGTTGAACACATGGGTTGGGCCAACCCGAATAATTCGGGCCCCCTGCGGCCCCCAGAATTCCTTCCAATGGTTTCCCTATATTCGACGCTGCCAGTGTTGGAAATCCGAACGTTCCAAATCCGAAAAAAGATGGTACCGAAATTGGTTGAGATCCAAGTGGGGATATTTGAAGGTACTTCGATGCTTACAATCAATATAAACTATCTATACCTTTACAACCCTTAGGTATGGTAGCAAAATACTTTGTTGTTAGCAGCCCCGTAATAAAAATGAACAGACCGCAACTACCTAAAACCTAAAAACATGCGAACAACAGTGAAGATACCATCACATGTTTCGGTCGTATGGCCCTTCATTGCATTGCCTTTAGATTGTTGCCATCACTCACGACCTGAGGATTGAAAGGCTGTGGCAAAATGATGCAAAACTCATGTCTTGCTCATTTGCACATCCCTGAAAGCCAACTAGCTGTTTGTTGATTCTAAAGATCCTCCTTTTTGCTTGAGCTTGTGTTCAACTAAAAAGCTAAAGCGGGGCGCGCTTCCCAGACGAATCCCAATTGCTTCAACTGAGTCATAATGAACACCTGGTATCAAAGAAGTCAACCCAAAGTGTATGACCTGCCGCGCCTAGTTCTGGCAAGGAGACTGTCTCCTACTTAGCTTCATCCAATCTGAAACCTGATGTGTCTTTGATTCACAAATGATACGAAGGGTGTCCCCCCCTCCATAAAAGGAAAGAACAAAGAAAATGGAAGCAAGAGAAGTACAGGTTTCCCGAGGGACCCAAGCATTTATCTGCCAGGGTTTGCTCCGAAAGCCATGGCCTCTCATTTGTCGGGTCGGGTTGCCAGGTCCTTCAAGTAGCCCTCCTTCCCCACGATGGTCTTCACCGCCTCCATGGCATGCTCCACGTAGACCACGCCTGACGGGTGGACGTTGTTTTTGTTGGGTGGAACCTCCAACCGGAGGGAAGTGAGGCGACATGCGGTTGTTTGGAGGTTGGGAAAAACTGAAGTGAAACTGCCTCTAGATCATTTCTGGCTTGGACAGATTCCTGAAAGGCAACTGCAGTTGCTAGCCATTGTGCCAGTTCTTTCCCTAATTTTGAGACCATTGATTGCAAAAGGAAGCTGCCAAAGGCTCAAACAGCGTTGGAAAAGACCCCGCGCAACAGACTCATCTGACTTCTAGCGGAGCCTTTTGTTTTAAGGAGCCCTGTTGAATTACAAATCCATGGTGTACCAAGAGAGCAAAGCTTGCTCCGTGTGGCGACTTGGGAGGCCGCACACCACAAACGAGCTTGTTTCAAGGAAACGAGGCGAGGTCAAATACAAATATATATATATATATATATCATGTCCGACAATGGACAATCCGCTTTTGAAGCCTGCCTTCTTGAGTGTCTCAACTGCAATGGCGATATTTTACATTGCCCAAAACAACTGGCTGGCTACTTTGACTTCACTCGTCTGCATGCTTTCAAATGCCCCATCCACTCACATTCACTTAAGCGCACTGGTAGACGTCTCTAGCTCTGACGTCAGCTTTGAGGCACGTCATTAACTGCCACCTCAAACTGCCAACTGCCTGGGACGACGATTTCGCCGAAGGCCACGTGCTCAGCACAGACCTTGAAGATATCCTCAAACGGAAACCGGCTCTCTGTCTCTCGCTCTCTCTCTCTCTCTCTCTCTCTCTCTCTCGCTCTCTCTCTCTCTCGTTCTCTCTGTCTCGCTCTCTCTCTCTCTCTCTCTCTCGACTCTCTCTCTCTCGACTCTCTCTCTCTCTCTCTATCCCTCTCTCTTTTCAAGTGACTCCTTCTCTCTCTCTCTCTCTCTTTGTTTCTGGACCGACTCATCTGCCCCCCCCCTCTCCTTATCCCTTTCCCTCTCGCTCCCCCTCTCTCTCTCTCTGCCCTATTGCACTCTCGTTGCGCAATGGGCCCAGGGACAGACCACAGACCTCCATGCCTGCCACGCTTGACAATGCGAGAGTGCTCTGCGTTCAAAGGCCTAGGAAGCTGCAAGTCTTTTTCGGCCCTACAGGGAATATCTGACTATGTCATCTCAGTAAAATGACTGGGGATGAGAGGGATCACGAAAAAACGAGATCCATCTACAAAGCTGGCAGGCCCCCAAACCGCTACCCTGGAAATAAGCCTGTTGCCGATATGCAAGCTCAACATAAGGAGAACCCATCCACAAGATGTCCAGAAGACAACCACCGCCGAGATCTTAGCAACTGTAGCAAAGGGTCAAACTCAACGGATATCTGGGCAACAAGAAGCGGGTGGGTAACCTACCTTCGGGACTGCTCCTGTCCTCTGATACCCAGTTGCCAAGTGACCCTGCAATGTTCTAAGGAGCTGCGTCACTTGCTGGATAAAGGGTGGCAATGGCAAACCCGCGTGTCCCATGTCATTCATTATACACCACTTGGCTGCACGGTGCTTGCCCTCCCCAAGCTTCCCTCTTTACCCGCCAAGTGTCCGACTTGATGGCGCACTCGAATTGGGTGTCGCGGCCATCCATGATCTTCCGCCGCAGGCACCGGTAGGCAGTCTCGCGCCAAGGGAAGGACGCGTGCCTGGGCTTTTTCTGGTCGACTCGGCGGTCGGTTAATTAAAAAAAAAAAAAAACACGGGGGGACATCTGCGGGCAATGGAAAGCTGGTTTCGCACACTCGACCGGAACTTCGCCAAATGAGCGGAAGTTCCTGGAGCTGGTTTCAAAGACTTGACAGGCTTCCACCTGGGTTTCCTGAAGGGGCCCAGGTGAGCTAAAATCAAGAATCAAAAAATATGGTATTCTTCGGTCGTGAGTGTGGCTCACTTGGGAACTGAGGGGGAGGATTCCTTTAGTATCCCTACCCCACAACCAGGGTAGGTGTAAAAGTTTGGCAAAGTCTTCGCAAGCTAAGCTCACCCTTTTGTGAGGTCCACAGAGATTCCCATGCCCCGAATGACGCGCAGATGTGCGCTTCGGACAATACGGGCGAAGCAACGACACGTCAATCAAACCGAGAATCCAAGGGCTTTTCATCGTCACCAGTTTCAATGCATCTAAACACTAATTCGGTTCCCAAGCGAGTTCCAAGAAAAGAGACTTCTGAAATCATGTCTCAGTTGATCCTTCCAGTGACCAATTAGATTTACACCTTCCAACCCTAAAACCCAAGATCTCATAGGTCTTGAGTCGGTTGCCTTCATATTTAGGGCCTTAGGCTCCCTCTCGCAGTGGATGGCCCCAAACAATTAACCAACTGCTTGTATGGCACTAAACTGGCCCAAACACAAAAAGTATACCCTCCCTCCCACGTTGCCATGGCACCTGCCAGGTGGTCCCTTCCAAAGGAAATTGATCTTCCAGGTGCCTTCCCAGAAAAAGCCATGGCAAGGGTAAAGTCCAGAAACTCGGGGAGTCTCCCTTCCTGAGTGGAGGGGCAACAAAAGTCCAAACTGTTTGTTTCCTACTAAAACGGTCTTTCCAAAAAAGTTTGAAGTCCAGGAACTCAGGGAGTGAGGAGTGAGGGACACTTCCCACCCGCTGCGCGCTGCGCGCTGCGCCCGCCTGAAGGCCACGACCTCTTGCGCCGGCACTTGGGGCTTGGCGGCGGCGCCGAAGGTGAGGTGCGCGTTGGTGCCGCCAAAGCCGAAGGAGGACAGGCCTGGCCCGGCGTCAAAACTCGTCCGACCTGGGATTGTTCCTATGACCTGGGACTGCGCGGACAGGTTACCTCAAAGAAACCCAACCCAGGATAAAATGTGGGTGATTTTTTGTGGAGGGCACAAGCAAATTGGGGAGGAATGGGAAGACCCTTGGAACATTAGGTGCTTCCACGTGGCAAAAAAAAGCTTAGCCCAGATAGAACCATGTCACATGACACACGCTCTGTTTTTTTTCCGAGTTGGTACCCTTTTGAAAAAATGCTGAGGTTGTTTTAAAGCGATTCCGTAACCCATTCATTTTGGGGTTTGCCAAACGAGACAAGCCCAAATGGGCTCCCGCAATTTGTCAACAGCATTCACCTGGCAATCCGAAACTGCAGAAAAAGCGCCCCGTTTTGGACACTCAAATCAAACAACAGGTCCATGTCGAACTTAGGGATCGCCGCTATCGGACAGCTCCAAATCGAGGTGCCGCGCCCTGCCCCAAGAAGCACAAGTGGTCCACAATCAGCTTCCCTCCAGATTGGTGCTTTGGAGCTTTGTGGTTTGGTGGTTAAGGAGGGGCTTCCCATTTACCCTCTACAAGAACCAAGGATTCAGATCCCCAAAAACCACCACTCCAAACCACCAACTAAGGGTTACCTGACGCAAGATATCGGCCAAAAAAAGCAAACTAAGGCGGAACATCCCCGGAACCTATCTGGGAACCCTCAAGAAACGCGTAAAACAGCAAGAGGAAACCTTGTACACAAGAAGGGCCCCCCCCCTCACCCAAAGCTTCACGAAAGGACAAACCCTTGGGTAAGGATGGTCAACATTACAGATTTCAAAACCACTCGCAGGGAGCAACTCATTTTGCAAAGTGAACCCCTGGTGATTTCGTTTGCCCGCGAACCCGTTCTGACCTGTTTCAAAGGAACATCTGGCAGTTTAAACCACACTTGCCCCCACCACGATCATTTAGACTCTGCAATCGCCTGCAGCTCGTAAAACTGCTGGTTGCCACAGCCCAAACACACCACCCTTGAAAAATCACGCCTGCAGTTTTGGTCTCTCGTCTTCCCCCTGGGCTTGGGATGGCGCGTTAGGTCGAAAGCGGGAGTCTGGCCGGCCTGACACGGTCTCCTCAGGCAGCTCCTGCAGCTCCACCGGAATCACCGCTGGGAAGTCCTGAATCGAATCCACCCACTCGACCCTTAGTATTCCCTCGCTGGCATACGATGTCGTAACCCAAAAAGGGGGAAAAGTCGAAAAGCCCAAAACCGGTGCGGCTTTTCTCTCGCTCTCTTTAGTCTTCCGCCTTGCCCCTGTGCAGGCGGGTTGCGAAAAGGGCCGCTGCTGTGGCACGACCATTCTGCTTACGAAGCCTGTGAAACAGCTACATGGGTAAGAATCACCAAAGCACCCCAGCACGAGTCGCTAAACTGCCTGAGTCTCAGCCTGGCAATTTGTGTTCACTTCGGGTCAAACTCATCCTGATCAATCATGGGTGGTCAACATCCATCATCACGACTCCGATATGAACATCGCAGAGTCTTTAGGGTTGCTTGAAGGGGAGACCAAGGGAAACCATCTATGTGCCGCGTGGAAGGCAACTTGAAACGAATCGCACGGCATGTGAATACCCATCAAAACCACCAAAAGCCGCTGGGATAGGGGGCGGGACTGCCCAAAGCTGATACTCTGCAAATATTGTCCGTTCCAACAGCATTCATCTCGCCAATGGAGTTCGGGTCTTGGCCAAATGCACGAAAGATGCTCATTGCATGTGAACCGGGGTTGTGTGCTGGTAAGTTACAGTAAACTTCTGGATTCCCGAGCTTGCACCACTTGCAACATTTAGAGCATCCCAAGACAATCGCGCTTATCGAGCAATGCTGCGTTGTTTGCGCGTCCTCCAAGTCAATGTGTGGATTCAAGCTCTGGAAGTGCAGATTCGGCGGTGCTTGGTGATGCTCAAGCATGTGGACGCTCCTCAGTTCGGTGGTCCCATATGAACGACCGTGCACAACAAATAAATAACATGTATGTCGCTACACTAGCTGCGTATTGGACATGTGAAGCAAATACACACCCTCGCACTGATCCGTGTCCTTCCAACACTCCACTTGCACAGTGCCTATGGGAGTAAAAGAACATCTTCTTTGGTGAATGGGAACCCGACTCTGCAAAATTACAAAGGGTGCCGCTCGGAAGCAGGGACTTGTCACTTCAATAAACAACGGGCTCATTCTGGCGAATATCGTTCATGCAAATGATGGAGCTCCCCGATTTGTGGTTGTTCCCTCCAAAGAAAAGTCACAGAGTGGCCCTTCAGGTTTTGTGTATGTGCGTAGTGTGGGTAGCTCCAACTATCATAGACCAATCGACTTCCATCTGACTCAGATGCATGATCCCGCTGGATCAACCCCAAACGAGTGAGTGGACGGCAGACTGATTCAACCTATCCTTAGGATGTTGATTGTGCAAATGAAGAGCGGGAACCAGCCGTTCAAGCATGATTGAACCATAAAGATAACCTTCTCTAAGCCTTTCTTTCAATTTCGGGAACCTTCCAATCTTTCTAAGCACGGTTTTGACTTTTGGTCGTCTTCCATTTTGTCTTCCGTTTCATAGAAATCCCTGTTCTGATTTCCGGGCTCGGGGTGCCGCCCGTTTCGAATCCGAGCCACTTCAGGAACCCAGCGATACCAGCGGCGCCCTCGAGGTGGGCGATGTTGGTCTTCACTGCCGTCAGGACCACCGAAGGATTCCTGATGATGGGTGCGCTGGGCATCAATTGCTATTCACCAAAACGAATGGAATCGCCCAAGGGAGTTGCAAATTCCACCCGGATCCCCGAGCTCGTTCCTATTTGTCCCGATTTGCGAAGGGAGCTCTGTTTGGGCCCCCAGCAATCCTGGGAGCCGCTCTAAAAACTACTGTTGAATTGTCTACCCGCCAAACCAAATGGGAAACTCTTCGAAGCTGGGCTGTCCGCAGCTCCCCTGCCACAAGCTTTAACTCTTGGCGGCTTAAGTTCGGACACCCAACCACTAAACCAGCCCCAAAAAGATCCAAAAGTCTAAGGACCCGGATGGCTGGGCTTAAGTCCGGGCGTCTCTCCCAGCACGCCCTTCAGCGCATCCACCTCGATGGGATCCCCCAGCGCTGTGCCCGTGCCGTGACACTCCACCAGGCCCACCTGGGCCGCCTGGGCCGCCGCCTGGGGGCTCGCTGCCGGTCGAGTGGATTGGCCAAAGTGGAGTGGCCAAATTTTCCCGAGTGCATTGGGTCTGATTCTTTTCATTTCCCGAGTGGATTGGCGCAAAAAACATGTAACCAAACTTTCTAGTTACCGCCAAAATGGTCTAAGCACAAAAAGTGACTCAAGTCCGAAACAAAACTCAGGAAGTGAGTTTCGTCAAACTCGTGAAGCCCAAATTCGTTTGGCCCGACCACTTTGAGGCACTTTTGGTGCCGGCCCAGCGGCCCATGGCACTGCTTAGCTCTGATTTTGAGGGAACATGCAAACTTTGGGGTCTCCGCATTTTGACACATACCTGTTCTTGGTTGCTGCTGATCCCTTGCAACAAGCCTTTGACTTTTTGCGGGTTCAATGGAAAACCCCACAAGATCTCAACCAACAAGTTGAAGTCTAAAGATATAGTCCAATAGCAGTCAAGCGATTTGGCTTCCCTTAGACCAGGCGCTTGGTTGAACTGTCCCCCCCCCCCCCGGCCGCCGCGGGCCTCTGCCAGCGCTCGGCGGATCACCGCCTGCTGGGAGGGGCCGTTGGGCGCAGTCAGCGAGGCGCTGCGACCATCCTGGCGCGACCGGCCGCAGGGTGAACCCCTCTCTGCCTGCAAAAAGGCGCCTATTTGTGGCTGGCTGATATATGTGCTTCAAGAACTCCTGGTAGCTCCGAAAGGCTCCCTTCTTGGATACTTCTAGCTCCCAGAGGCTCCCTTCCAACCACCAGGTCGGCGACTGTCTTGCGGGCACTTCCAGGCCATCTACCGCTGCTCTCCCAGCTGAGGAAAGCCTCCGGTCCCGGCCTGGTTGGCGGCGGTGCCGCGCAGCAAAACCGGGGCCTCGCCCAGCGACAGGAAGGCAGCACCCACGCCCTCGCCGCGGGCATAGCCTCGGTTCCGCACGATGCAATTTGCTGCAATTCGGTGCCGGTTTTTTGAAGGGCACCCTGTTTCAGGTGGCAATCAAGGGAAACGAAAAGGTAAACCTGTATATATATATATATATATATGTTTATATATATATATATATATATTATTATATATAGGGGCGGGGGAGCATTTTGACACGTAGCCAAATAGGTTTGTACCTGAAGGGGCATTAATCTTGATTGGGGGACCTTCGATGGACATCATTTGCCGTAGGGGTTTATTTTGGAGGGTTTTCCCTGTCACAACTCCTAGCCAAACTGGAAACTTGTCAAGCAAGGTGGTTAGTTTCCTCTTTGGTTCCTTTCAAAGTCATTCCACTTCGTGAAATATTCCGGCCCAAATAGCACCTAGACGGGCTTGCTTGGGGGTTCCGCAAGTTTTGCGGTTTTGGGGTAGAGACTCCAAGAACGAACGGTACCTTCTTCTTTGCTGCCGTCTCCAGCGCGCACGGAGCCAAGGTGCCGTTGGCCGAGGCGTCGAAGGTGAAGCAGCGCCCGTCCTCCGACAGCATCTTGGCCTTGCTGAAACTGATGTACGGCCCGGTGCCTCGGAACGACCGAGCGAGCAACTCCGGGCCCCAGTAACAACTTGAGGGAAATGGGGGGGGGGATGGGGAGGTGTATTCAGGAGGGTGACTCAGATGGTTCCCATGGCACATGTTGATGTCAAGTACCCTCCAAATCCGACTGGCTGGAATAGCATGTTGAAATTTGTGAGCCCTCCTGTTTGAAGTGGTAGTCTTCCTAAGCAATGTATTAATCGGTAGGTAGGTACTAATCAGGGATGGTCCCAGAAATCGATTTGTTTCAGCAGCAGTACTCCTCAGATTGCTGTGGTCCTTCGGATTGAACACAAATAAGCATAACCCCTCCAAATTCAAGTTGAATATTGTTGGAACCCAATTAAAGAAGTCTCCCCAGAGTCCCCTGAGCGGGTTAGATCCAAGTCTGCTGGCCATGGAAAGTAAGTCACAACTAATACCCAGCTGGAGGCTTCAGAATTGCAGCCTGGTTTGGTCGATGTGCCTATGCTTTGTTGTTGTTAACATGAAAAACACACTCAAGACCAATTTGCGCGCAACTCAGTCACAGCCCCCTTTGCTGAGGTCGCTTTATCCAGATTACTGGCAGGAACGGTTGTTCTTGTGGCACTTGGCTTGGGATACCTCAAAAGGAGGCCTGCACTTTTGCGAACCCTGTCCAATAGTGTTGACTCCGGGATCACTCCCCCAAAGTGAAGAGACAGCCACAAACAATCAGCCCTGGGTTGAAAATGCAAACCTTCTTGGAGGGTTCGGCCTCTACTTCTCACACAGAGCCACGACAGGATCAGCCTAACTAAGGGCACCTGAAGTCTCCGAAAGCTTTCGAACATGGAGGAGATGTACTCATAACTTCGAAGCCAATAGTGCAACCCCTCCCCCCCCCATTTTGTCAGAGTCATGGAGATGTCAGGCACATTGACCCCATGTTGGAGTGTTTCAGGGTGACCCCATGGGCAATCCACAGTTTTTCGGCGACTTTCGCAAAAAACGAACGTCCGCCTCTGCAGCTTTCGCCTTCCGCAGCTTCCGCCTGCGAAACCCAACTGCCAAGGCGCCCAGGATGAGGTTCGTCCCCGCCGTCAGCGCTGCCTCCGCCGTGCCGCGGCGCAGCGCGGACAAGGCCGCATCTGCCGCCACCAGGGAGGAGGAGCAGGCGGTGTCGCAGGTGAGGCTCGGGCCCTTGATGCCGAAGATGTACCTCGACATCTCGGCTTTTTTCTTTGCCGTCCACCCAAGAAGTACATGGTGTTGGATGTTGAAACCAGCCCAACTTGTACCTTTGCAGCAATCACTCTCGGGATATGTGTGCTGATAAATCCCAATCTAAAAGTCTATGTCTTTGGCTGCCAAAGTACCTCAGATCTCCCCTTCAAGGCCGCCGTTCCCCCCAAATCCTGCAAAAGGTGGCCAAACGTTGAGAACATGTTCTTTTTCGTGACACTTGAAGCTCCGGCGGTTTTCAACAAAAGTGGCATTCTGACAAATATAAAGGGATACTAGAGTCAGTGAGATCGGAGAAAGTATTAGTCAGACGGTGACATGTTGCCTCAGACCGCGCATGCCCGTATCCCAAACTCAAAGCGCAAAAGAGCACAAGAAAACACGACTCAAGTATGATATGCATGTTGTCAACTTCAACTTCACCAGTGCACCAAAGTCTCTTCCCTGCAACATTTGACGCCTGCAAGGTGTGATGTGATCGAAATGTAACCATATGTCCCAACTTGATCTTGCGGGCATGGTGTGACGGTTTGAAGAAAGGACAAGGACAGCATGCGAGACAATCTCCATTGTCACATTGTAAGCGGTGCATAGAGGCGCATCAATAAAAAGACACCAAAAGCAAGTCGGGGTGTTGTGGGGAGTTCGGGGTCCTCCATACTGGGCTGTCCGTTTCTGAAAAGCTAAAGTTGTGGGTAAAGTGGAAACACAACCACTAACCCATAGAAAGCTGAAAAGCTAACTGGGAACAACCAAGCATATTCAGCGCACAATGAAACCGAAGCGTAGCGCACTATTCAGTAAAACAACATCGCTTGAAGGAGTGAGCTGCTATCACTCACCCGGAAAGAGTCAGCGGGTAATTCGCTGGAATGTACCCAAGGTCTGAAATACTGAAACGCTGCCAACGAAATGCTGAGCATCTTGCTCAACAGCATGCTTACAAGCTCACCCTTTTTCCTGACACCCTACTGCACCCCAAACATATATATATATATATATGCACTGGATGTAGGTCCGTGTTCCTTCCCGAGTTGACCCCATTGGGCGTCGTCCTCAAAATAAGGAAGCCCCAAATGGTTGGCTTGCTTTTGATTCCCCTTGAGCACAAGCCCAAAAAGGGCACCAACAAGCAAGACACACACAGAGACCCATTTACCCATTGCTCATTCCCATTGCGAATTCCCCCCCCTCTGGCTTGCAGGGCACGAGGTCCGGTTCGCGCTGATGGAGGCTGAGATGCCGGTGCCGGTGTAGGGGTTGAACTTGTCCCCCACGCTAACCATGACGAACCAGTCGTACTGGCACTGGCCCACGAAAACCTCAGTGTACAGTCATCGGATGGCTGGGCCGGGTCGAAAATCCACGCTGGGGGCCCTTACGCTGAGTTCTGCCAAATGTGTGGACTTTTGCCCGAAGGGGCCAACAAAAGTCCTTAACAAATGAGGTCATTACCCCAAAAATCATGGATGAATTGCCCTTTTCGAAAGGGTCACTGAGAGTCCGAGCACATTGTGTTGAATTCCCAAAAGCTCTTAGCCATCAAGAGGTTCAGGATGCGCCCTTTCGCTCTTGCGCGAGGGAGGGCCAAGCCCCGTTGAAACTTATGTTTAAACCCAACTGCTCAGATCACCCCCTTTTGCTGTTTAAACATGGTCGAAACCCCGATTCCCTTCTTCCCCATCTCTTCCTTGCTCGCCATAGATTGCTCCCCATGTTGAACCCCCTCTGCCGTGCCCCCCCCCTTCCCCCCTACACCACATCTTCCTTCCCCCCATACCACCCTCCCCCAAATCAACACCCCGCTTCCCCCTCCGACTCCCCCTTCTTCCGCTTGCGACCACGGGACCCCCACGTCCGCACCCATGAGCTGGTCCCTGTCCCTGCCGGAGTTGGTGAAGGCGGTGTGCGCCGCCTCCAGCAGCAGCCGCTGCTGGGGGTCCATGGTGCCCGCCTCCGCCGCGCTCAGCCCGAAGCACCCGGGATCGAAGAGCTCCTCGGCGAGGCGTGGGCGCAAGCACGCGGCGTGGTGTGTGCGTGCCCTCTGAGTCTCTAGGAGAACCACAGGGAAACCCAACGTTTTAAGAGGTGCCCCATATTGTGAGGACTTCCCGAGGATTCTAACCGCCTGCTAGTTGGATCCAAATTGAAGGGTTCTATGGCAACTTATTGTCCAATTAGGTACCCGCTTTGTAGGAATAGCTCTTTCTCTCTGGCTGATTCCCGTCCCTATGACGTCTTTCCATCACCTTGAAAGGCCTTCCCTTGCCCCTCACAGAGAGTGGCAGCCTTCACAATAGTTGTTGAGTGAGGTGTTAGGAGTGTCGGGCCTTTCCTTGGTTGCAAAAGCAAACCGTACGAGCCTCCAGACGTTTGGACCCCCAACTCCTTTTGAAATACGCTCCCAGGCGGAAAAATTGGGGTGTGGGGGGACCCGAACCCACCAAGCAAAAGGGCAAGGGCAAGGACCGGAATCTGAGCTCAATTGTTTCAGCCCAGAGCTGGGAGAAGACCTGATTTGTCGCATCCCGTTTCCTGCCGTTCAACAGAAACGCGAAAGAAGAGCAACTGCTCGCTATGATGGCATGGTCAAAACTTTCGCTTCTCGTTGCAGGAATCCGTGCATTGCTTAACCATGGTAAACTCATTTTGCATACCCCCAGGTGAGGTCTTAAAAATGTAAAATTTGCCCAGATTCCTATATGCCCTATAAGCAGCAGGGATATGGGGGGAAGCAGGGACAAGAGAGTATCTCCAACGAAGCAGGGTAGTGGTCAACGGTAGCAACAAACACGAACCAACTTCCCTTCTTCTCCTGCATCCCTGCCAATTGGTTCGTCTGAGCAACCAGGTCTTTTGATTGCGCATGGACACACGTCCCTTGTTTCTGTGCAAGGTGCCGCACCCTCGATAAAGCCTCCATGCTTTGCATAGGTCTTGCCCGGCTCATCCGGGTCCGCACTGTAGTACCTCAGTGGACTGACCGTTAAACCTCGGAAAGAAAAAACACTCCAACATCAGTTGCTGGTGTCTTCAGCAAAATTCGCGGGGATCTAATTTTCCTATCCGAGGAGAGGGAAGCATGTTCAAAACATGCAGAGTCTTCAGGTCAACTAGGACGTAGACCCCCAAAAAGGAATGCGGCCAATCATAGCACCTTGCTTGTTCGACATGCCGTGCCTTTGACCGGGTCGGAACATGGCATGCACCGCCCCGAAAGGGAGGCCTACACACACATATAGACACGTTCCGATGAGGAAACGGGTCTGCAGGTGTAACTGGTCCCGCTTCAAAGAAAGTTAGAATGCAACATAGCTTCACAGGAGATCCCAGAAACATGGTCAAAGATCTGCTGGGGCACATGTCCAAGTCCCATCTTGTGAATGGGATCTCCACCACCGAATCCTTCTTCTCCAGAAGGTCCTGCAGAATTCCACGTGCCACGATCAACCCGTGGGCCATGGCTCCCTTGTAGGGACCCTCAATCTGGATGTTAAACAGGGCATCCGAGAAGACTCATATCCTCTTTCGGATGCCGGGGAAAATCAAACATTATAGGCTATCTGAAACCCTTCCATAAGATGGCGAACAATTCCTCGAGTCCATGATCATCCCGAAACCAAGAAAGCAGGGCCATGCCTCGCCGAGAGAATTGGGGCCCGGGTCGTCATGGTGTATGTGGGTACTGGGGGTGCGTCCTCCCCCAAGTCAATAGAGTACCAATCTTGTCTCAGTGACTCGCGGGTCCTTCAGAAAGTCAATTAAGACTACCCCAACAGGTGCTGGTTGAACCATTTCAAAAGGGAAATTTCTCAGGATCCCTAAACCCCCCTCCCCTCCCCCCCCATATGGAGTGGTTGGTCGGACTTCTTTAACTCACCAAAAAGGAGCACGTGGCGCAAAGGCCCGTCCTGCCAGTAGCCTTCATCCCTGCGGCCAGGCAGAGTCGATGCAATGCCCTGCACGGCAGCGAACTGTCCACCAGCTGGCGCTCCTACGGTAGCAGTGCGGGATCTCAGTTGGGCGTCTCAACTCGGCGGGCGCCAACACGTGCTTGTTCTCTCAGCTGGGAATGAAGAAGAACCATCCTCCATGGTTTCCTCTATCCTAGATTCATTCCCAAAACCCTGGGTCATTCCATACTGAGCACCAGCAAGAAAGGTTTTGCTCGTTGTTGGTTAGTGGAAAAACACACACGATCACAAAAGGTACAGGGTAAAGATAGAGGAGCCCCAAAAAAAGGGTTGTGTCCTTTGTGCGTATCCCTTCGGCCCTCAGTTGAAGTTATCCCTCTAAAAGGTGGCACCTTGAGTAGAGTCCGAAGAGAAACCATATGTTGCCCCCCAACCAATCCCTGGTTGGTTAATAGGGGAGTGTCCATCTAGCTGAATTGATATTTCCCCAACAGCTGCACGCAATGAGTCTTGGTCCGGGGCAGCTCTGAGGTTCCCCCAGCGCCCCACGCCCCACCTGCCAGGCCGACTTGGGGAGCCGCGCTGCTCCCAGCGCCCAGCTGAGACGCCGCAAAGCTGCTGATGGCCGCGGCCGTGGGGTAGTCGAAGATCAAGGTGTTCGGCAGCTTCACGCCTGACCGGCAGTGTCAGGCGGGGTCTAAATAAGCAGCAAATGTAGTTCATGGAGCGGGGGGGGAGGAAGGTGACCGTGTATATAATATATATATATATATGAATGCATGCATGTGTGTATGTATGTGTGTATGTATGTATGTATGCATGTATGTATGCATGCATGCATGCATGTATGTATGTAATGTATGTAATGTATGTAATGTATGAAATGTATGTAATGTATGTAATGTATGTAATGTATGTAACGCATGTAACGCATGTAACGTATGTACCGTATGTAACATATGTAACATATTTAACGTATGTAACGTATGTATGTATGTATGTATGTATGTATGTATGTCTGTCTGTCTGTCTGTCTGTATGTATGTATGTATGTATGTATGTATGTATGTATGTATGTATGTAATGTATGAAATGTATGTAATGTATGAAATGCATGTAATATATGAAATGTATGTACTGTATGTAATGTGTGTAATGTGTGTAATGTATGTAATGTATGTAATGTATGTAATGTATGTAACGCATGTAACGTATGTAACGCATGTAACATGTTTAACGTGTGGAACGTATGTATGTATGTATGTATGTATGTATGCATGCATGTATGTATGTATGTATGTATGTAATGCATGTAATGCATGTAATGTATGTAATGCATGTAATGTATGTAGTGTATGTAATGTATGAAATGTATGAAATGTATCTAATGTATGTATGAATGTAGCGTATGTAGCGTATGTAATGTATGTAATGCATGTAATGTATGTAATGTATGTAATATATGTAATGTATGTATTGTATGTATGTATGTATGTATGTATGTATGTATGTATGTATGTATGCATGCATGTATGTATGTATGTATGTAATGTATGAAATGTATGTAATGTATGAAATGCATGTAATATATGAAATATATGTAATGTATGTAATGTGTGTAATGTGTGTAATGAATGTAATGTATGTAATGTATGTAATGTATGTAATGTATGTAAAGCATGTAACATATGTAACGTATGTAACGTATGTAACATGGTTAACGTGTGTAACGTATGTATGTATGTATGTATGTATGTATGTATGTATGTATGTATGTATGTGTATGTGTATGTATGTATGTATGTATGTATGTATGTATGTATGTATGTATGTATGTATGTATGTATGTATGTATGTATGTATGTATGTATGTATGTATGTAATGCATGTATGTAATGCATGTAATGCATGTAATGTATGTAATGCATGTAATGTATGTAGTGTATGTAATGTATGTAATGTATGTAATGTATGTAATGTATGTAATGCATGTAATGTATGTAGTGTATGTAATGTATCTACTGTATGAAATGTATCTAATGTATGTATGTATGTATGTAGCGTATGTAGAGAATGTAATGTATGTGATGTATGTATGTATGTAAGGCATGTAATGCATGTAATGTATGTACCGCATGTAACGTATGTAACGTATGTAATGTATGTAACGCATGTAACGTATGCAACGTATGTAACGTATGTAACGCATGTACTGTATGTATTGTATGTAATGTATGTAATGTATGTAATGTATGTAATGTATGTAATGTATGTAATGTATGGAATGTATCTAATGTATGTAATGCATGTATGTATGCATGTATGTATGAATGAATGTATGTATGCACCAAGCAGGACTTTGAGCTGTCCCTGAGGACAAGAGTTTGCCCGTTGAACCGCTTTTGAGTTTCTGTTAGAATACCCCATCAGAGTTTGAGGACTTCCACACTCGATTGCGTCAACCGCGTGTTCAGCTGCAAAGGAGGGGAAAGGCAACTTACTTGCCCGGTGGTCTTCATGGGAGAAGGGGGCAAGCACCCTGTGTTTGACTGGGTGAGGGACCCTGGTAAGCAAGGGACCCTTTTCATGGTCGACAGGTTTTTGAGCGGGAACCTCACCAAACATCTAGGAATAACTTCCCCATTCTTTCCAGGGATCCTTTTTTCTAGAAAACCTCCGGAAACCCAAGGAAAACGGCCGGTTTTTGGAAAGAACGATGGTTGAAACAAATGGAATTGGAATCAACCCCTCGAAAACAGTAGGTTGCTTTTTCTTGGTGCAACTGAAGAACTCATCGGCAAATCCACACCCAGGAGTTTTTAAGCTATCGCCAGCCGCCTTGAAGCTCGTTGGAGAGGCGGTTCCGGAACTCCACCGCCGCCAGGGAGTCCATGCCCGAGTCCATAAGAGGCTCCTCAGCAAAAACCAGAGACGACTTCTAAGGATGATGTTCGTTTTTTTTCCCCCAGGCTTTCCAGGATTTGCACATCCGGCCGCGAGCCTAACTAATCTTTGTAAAGGACTAGGGTTGGAAAAGGAAACGGGCACTGGTGTCCCGGCAAGTGGCCAGAGAACTAAAACAAAACTGAAAGATTCTCATTGGTCGAACATCTAGGGACTCGCAAAGTAATACAGAGGACAAAGGTGTGAGCAATAGCTTCCAGTCGCCCAACCAGTTAATGTTTTCTCCTGCTACCAGGCCAAGGCAACACATGTCCACACAAGCGTCTCAAACAACAGAAGCACAAGCCCCCGTGCCCCCTGGTCGAAAGACAACACAACACAAGAACCCTTCTTTGAAGGGGAAGGGGTGTCCTACCTGATCAATGGTCAAGTTTGAACCGTAATTTGCCATACCTCAGGGGTCGGGGATACACTCACCTACTTGCCTTTGTAAAACAAAGGTTACCAAGTCGGGGACACATGGGACCACCATGAAAACTGACTGCAGCTCATGTGGAGGGAAACCCACATAGGTTTTTGTTTTTTCGATTTAAGGTCAACACTGCAAACGAGAAGACAGCCCCTTAAAAGGAAGCAATCTGACGGCTCTTCAAAAACCAACAACACCCCCTATAGAACACCCGCAAACAAAAAGCAGCACGCTGTGAGGACCTCCAACAAAGAAGAGAAAGCAAACGTCACACCCTTTATCACCCTTTCCTGCGCATCCACGGAGTGGCCGGTGACCTCGCCAGCAATGGCCAGCACCAAAGCCTCTACCTGCCCGGCGCTCACGCCGGGCACCGCCTGCAAGGCAGGATCCGAGAAAAAAAATGGGAAAAAAAAACGGTCGAGGGCCTTGTTTGGAGGGCATCCCTTGAAAAGAGGCTTGGACCCATTCGGGTGTGCGTGCTCAATAGGGTTGGTTCGAAGGACCTTGGTGGCCTTGCCACAAGGTGCAGTTGATTCCGTTGGTGTCTGTTTTTCAGGACTGCCTCTTGGGGTGGCTTAAGCGGAAACCCAGAGGAAAACAAAGGCAAACCTCCTTGGGCGCGACAGACTCCAGAGCCATGTGAGCAACGGACCTTGGAAATCAAGGGGCCCCGGCTGTGGCAACTTTCGCCTGCCCCCCTTTGTCCAGAAGAAAACATGTCCGCCCAGAATGGATCCAACTCGCTGAAGGACGCACAGCTATGGTCTTCAAGGCTACCCTCTTCAGCTGAATGAATTAGACCCCCGCTGTTGGGACCATACAGGAAACCAGTGAAACCAATTAAAAAAATCGACGCGGACGTGTTTTGACGCATTACCCCCCCATACGCCAAGCTAGGGAGCCACTGTTTTGGTTGAGCTTAAAAGGGTATCATATTCTGATGGCATATTGGACCCTGTAAGACACAATTCCATAAGATAAAACTGATCAGCGCACATATTTCCTGGGACTTTTGTTTGGTGCTATCTGGCTTCAGCGGGGCTGTGGGTTGTAGCTAGGGCTGTGTAAGCCTCTGAAATCATCTTGGTACAACCACAGTCACCAGGCTTTGACTTGACATGCCCAGAGTCCCATTTATTGTTTACACAAGCCACTGAAAACCCGGGCGTGTCCAAACCCGGGGAGTGGCAATCCAAGATGGGGGGTTGCTGAACCTACCCTTCCCACGACTTCGTCTTTGTACCCCCACACAGTCCGCACCTTGCCAGCCCGCTTGCCCAACAAAAACTGAGGAACCGGGTTGGGCTCCGGGCCGTTCCGGGTCCGGATGGGAGCTCTACTTTTTTTCGGAAACTCTCCACTTCTCAACAATGTTTTTTTTTTTTGGGGGGGGGGGATCAAGCCTTTGATCGGTATGCCTGCTGGCGTCAAGGGGGTTAGGTAGTGCACGTATCTCAACGGCCTGCCTGTGCCACCTGGGCATCACCAACCGCGGACAGCTGCGATGCTGCAAACATGCCTGAGCCATGGCACAACCAGCTGTCAGTCTCAGTAGTTCCAGTTCCCATTACAATGGTGGCACAGATCAATAACCCCCGTCTGAGAAAAGACACCCGGTTTTCCAAAAATATGGTTTTCCGAAACCTTGTCGACCTTGAGGGGCGTTGTTAAGGTTATGAATCAAGCTCCCCCATGAGTACTGAGGGGAAACCGTCATTTGAAACAAACAACCTCCAGATTGAGTGCGAAGGTAGCTGGGAACGTGGATTTCCCGATCCATGGCCCGTTGATGGGGCCTCTGAAGGATATCCAGTAGCCTTTGGGGCACCGTAAGTCAAGTGTGCTTGTGACGAACCAAAACTGCTTCTGGATCTACAACTTCACATGGCCAAACCATGTCCCAAACCGCGCACCGTTTCTGAAGTCTTCTGCGTTTTGTCTCAGCAAAAAACGGCTGCGACCAGGTTCTTCTCAAAGGTTTGGGAAACCACCAGCTCACTGGCCGGGATCCTCACTTTTCCTTTCCGTCTCGACTTTATCTCAATTCGGGCAACCACCACCAGCTGGTGTCCTCTCCGGACATCTCACTTAACCCCTTTCGTCTCTCGACGTCTCGAGAGCACTCGCGCGAAACCCGCGGGCCGGAAACCGCGCGAAGCGGCTGATGGCCGAGGCGGTGGGGTAGTCGAAGATCAGCGTGTTGGGCAGCTTCACCCCCGGCAGCTCATTGGCCAAGCGATTGCGGAACTCCACCGCCTCGGCACCCAAAAGAACAACAGGCTGCCGGCAGCCTTCCCCGGTTGTTTTTCTTGTGGGGGGAGGGGAGGGGAGGTTTTGCGGGGGAAAAAGTCGACCGGCATGTGTTTTTTGTGTTGGGGAGGGGAGGTTTTGGGGGGCGGCGGGTCCCTTTGAAAGAGTCGACCGGCGCCCTGTGTTGTTGTTTTTTTTTTGGGGGGGGTGCCCTTGGAAATCATGTCACCAAAGAAAGGTGCCCTGTTTGCCCGTCACCGGAGGTTTGGGTTTACTATCGTTGACCAGTTGCTCAGGTGGAAAAGGCTAACCATGTCTTTGCGGTTGGTTGATTCCATTTTGGCGGGCAACCCACCCAAACAAATAGGGAAAAGCAGAAGTCAGAAGTCGCAGAATCTCACCCTTGGATGTTTGACCCACGTCGGCTTATGTCCATGGTGAGGAGGACTAACCCCATTCCGCCCCCATTTTCCACCCCCCCGCCCAGCTATAGTCATGGTTATAACTTATAACCCAAACAAGCTGGTTGAACACGGTGGTTGGATGCGTCAGGCGGTTTCCGATTTTCCGTTGAAACAAATCGCATGTTTCACGTGTCGTTGTTTGTCCGAGACCTGGTGGGCTGGAAGTGAAGCTTTTCCGAGACTTCCCGTGAATGAAAGTTGAGCCCCGCTGGGGGTTGACTGCGTTTAAAGAAAGATACCCGACAAAGAAAGTGCAAACGAAAGCAGTGGGAAAATGGTCTTGTGGAGTGGTAACTTTCAGGTGCAAACTAGCCACTGGAGGTGCTCTTGCCAGGAAATGAATGTTTTGAGGAAGAGTTACTTTCGCAAGTGGTCAGTGGGCAAATCCCTTAGGCTGTCTCTGACACAAATGCCGTGGCCACTTGCGGGGCGAGGACAGTCTGGCCAATCTGGTGAGTCTAGCTACAGGCCACGTCTGGCCAGGTATGCTTGCACTTGTGGGTTATTTGCAACCATGAGTACCTACCACACAGCCTGTCCACTATCACGCGAAATTGAAACCAGTGCGGAAAGCAGGCACCGTTTATTACCTTGGCAAATCCTGTGGAAACACCAAACATATCCCACACACCAAGCAACCAACCAACCAAGCAACCAACCAACCACCCGCCCAACCAACCAACCAACCACCCGCCCAACCAACCAACCGACCAGCCAGCCAGCCAGCCAGCCAGCCAACCAACCAACCAACCAACCAATCAACCAACCAACCACGAGATCAAGGTGGGCGCCTGACCCCCCTCTGCTTTTTGCACTGTTCTCAGACTTGTAAGTTGACTGCCTGCTTCTTTGGCCTTGGCATTGATCACTGTCTAGGCCACAACAGGGCTCTGGATTCAGAGCCTCTCTTGCGCTTGTGTTTCAACTCGTTATGGATGCTCATGCTGCAAAGAGAGTTGAGTCATACGAACGGAATACAAAAACCTACCCAACCATGTAAAGGATCATCAAGGCTGGATCTCTAAATGACAATGGGACTGTTCCCAAGCTCTTTGAAACAAAGAATAATGGCCTCAAAAGAGGACGCATTCATATTCAGGCCAAGCCGCCGACAGGGAGTCCATGCCCGCTTCCATCAGCGGCTCCTGCCAGGAAGCCCAAAGAGCCTTCTTGGTGGTTTTGATCAAAGGGCTCTTAGGACCTGTCAAGGTGGGGGGCCCGAATCCACAAGGGAATCCGGCAATCCGCAGTAAGGTGGGGGGGGGGCTGTGATTGGGTCTTTCAGCTCCAGGATTCGGCCGCCGCGGCCGAATCCACAATCCGGCAAATCCGCAGTCCATAAGCCGGCCGGCTGGTGGCAGAACCCCAGGGTCACATATCTTAAGCAAATGGCCGTGGCTGAGATTCGGAAGCAGCTAGCTGATGTGGTTCAAGAACGATGCGATTGACAGGATGAATTTCTCAGCCTGCGCCCAGTCACCTTCACGGTGGCTAAGCGGGTGTTTCTACTTTGATTCTCAACTGGCAGTGTCCCTGATTTCCTACTCAAGTGGTAGCTGGGAAAACCCATCCCCCCCCATTAGTTTGCCTTGAAACATCACCCACCACAAGGAAACTTACCAAATGAATAGACCATTCCAAAATGCAATCTTCAAAACCACTCTTTGATCGGCAGAACACGTAGCGAACCCCGCACAACACCTGAGCCCCTTGGCGCCTGGGCCGACACTACGCTGCCGGTCACTTCGCCCGCCACGGCCAGGATCATGGACTGAACCTGCGCGTTGCAGGTCCACGGCAAAGGCATGGCGCGCGAACCACGAGTTGCCAATTTCATATTCTGGGGACAGGTTGACGCCCCCTTACCTGGCCCCAAGCTTTCTATGGTTTTACGGGCCCAAGGGAGTGAAAAGGCTCGTTTTCAATTTCCCAGCTTCATGTGCAGTGCCCAGTGCACAGAACACAAGCTGGCTCAGGAAAACTGGTGCCTCTCCAAAGCTGCCCAAAGTCACAGCCCCATTTGAGCGCGTCTCTTCCCAAAGATGAATTCGTCTAAAAAATGATAGGTATCACAGTCACACCAGTGGTTGAAATCACCGCATTCTCTCATCACAGCCCTGAGGCGGGAATCCCACCCCATGGCTTTAAATATGTTCAAATTTCATATGCCCTGTTGGTTTGAAGTTTGAGCAGCCTTCTGTTGCTTTCCCTTCAAAACAAGCCTGCCTGCTCCGCGCCCACCGTCGCCCGCCGCGGGGCGGCAAGGCCGCCTCCGCGGGCGGCGCCGGACTGCGCCGCCCCCGCCTCTCGGCGGAAGCCTCGAGCGGTTTCTCGGCGAACCGCTGCCTTCGGTCATTCGGATTGCCCAAAGAACCAGTCAACGAAAGGTTCACCTGTTCGGGATGACTAAAAGTGGACCAAACAAGGGAAACCAAAAGGTCAAAAGTTCGGCTTTGGGCTATAAGGGGACCAGTCGCGGTCGAAAACCATGGTATCGACCTTCTGACTAAGTGGCTTGAACATCCAAGCGAGGAAAAGCATGCAACATATCATATCTGTTTAAGTAACCTCGTTCGGGCCTTTTTGGGCGACTGATGAGGGCGGCCGTCAAAGGCAAATAACAAAAAACAATGAGTGAGGGTTGATCAATATTCTTAGGGCCGAATGACCAATGGGCAACTTTTCCCATGTGGGTGAAAGTCATCTTGTTGTGGTTTCCTAATGGTCATCCCATGTAAGGGATCGTTTATTCAAACCCCATGTAGACCCAAGAATACCCCCAAAAAAACTTCAAAACCAAACGAGCACCAAAATAACAACGAATGAACTCGGAAGAAACAAGCATCAAGACAAACACACAACCAACAGCAAACAGAAACAAATGGCTGAAGTCATCTCATCTTTCTTCACCAAAGTCACACGGGAACTGTCAAATCAGGACGGCCTGACACCTCATGACTCCTTTTTGCTGTTGCCTACATGTCTAATTCAAGAAACCCAAAGTGCTTGTTGAGAGGCACATCACACTATGTCAAAAAAGCTGGGCCCAAGCGATCTGGTCCCGAGAGAAGTGACATCCTCAAAGTTTCCTTGCGAATGATGGATTGAAGTGAAACCGCCGAAGAAAAGCTACTCAACACTACAACCTCCCCCCCCACGAGGAAAAAAGGAAGCCCTCAACATGCTCAACTTTCTTCAAGGGACCCTGTAGCTCCCCCCCTTGGCAGTGCCAAGTCGCGGGAGTAGAAGGGAGGCACCGATTTGCCGAACCTGGGATGGAGAGGCGCGCTCGGGCCTGAACGCGGGTGTACTATACTCCACACATTCGCAAGCGAGATCGAAGCCCCCCGAAGAGTGACCGTACTCAGAGGTACCGACCTTTCGGGGAATCGGTTTTTGCTCGGGTCAAGCGGATCTTGTTCCGTCCCAGGCGCTGCTTCAAGTACTGGCCCCAGTGCACTGGGCAGGCGGCCACCACGCTGCCCGGGGCGCGCAAGGCACCAGCCAGCGCGGCCATACCCACCTGAGCCAGGGCCCCCCTTAAACGGAAATCATACTAAATTGGCGAAACGGGTGATGTTTAAAACCACAAGGGCCAAGCCAGGGTCTGGAGAAAAGCAAAGACATATCCATCCTCTGCTTCCTTTTGGCGAGATTAGTAACTATGGGTAGGGGGTCTGGAAAAGTCGAGCAAGTTATCCCTCCCTGCTGGATTCCTTTTGGGCACGTTGCAATATGTGGGCTATTTAGCACCCATGATATGGGGCACATACTACCCTCCCGCCAACTAAGATGGACCCCGCCAGGTCCCTTGAAGAGGACATATTTATACTCAAAACTTACCCGCCACCAACTAACTTACATGGAACCAGGGTTGGGCAAATTTGTTCAAATAACCAATCCCCGGTCCACTTCAAAGGACGAAAGGAGGGCTTTCAACCAATAGAGTCTTAAACATGATTCAACATCTGGGTGGCCCCAACCCTGAATGGAGCCCTGGAGGAGAATGGTATTCTGCGAGTCTACCCAAAATCAGAGGTTGAACATTTCAATCTCCCACAGCCCCAAACCTATAGAAGTTCAACCTCTTCCTCCAAAACGCACCCTGTGGCAAGTTTCAGTGGCAGGGAGGGTTCTTGACTGGAAGATCTATAGAAAAGGAAGAAGCTGGTCACTGGTAATCAGAATAAGATATTTGAATCCTGCGGAAAGGAACATCTGGAGACCGTATCCTATCAGTAGCTTCCTTTGGCTTCCCTTTCGTTGCTCCAAACAAAGGGTTATCGTAGGACCCCAACAAAGGAAGCCTACCCAACACCGTGCAAAGAATCCAAAGGTCGGGACTCTCTATCCCCTCTTAGGCACTAATCTATACCCAGCTGTTGCTTGGGGCCCTCGCTTTGGTCGCACCCGCCCTTCCCGCTTTGTTCCGTTGCGATTTAGCATCCGCTACGCGTTTGTTGTACTCTTCTCCTTTTCAAGCCTCCCGTGCATGTGTTTTGCAAGGATGCCGTTTCCGTGCTCGATCCGTACTCATTTTGCGTTCCTGCATTTGGCTGGGAAATCAGCTCTTGCCACCTTGGTTTTCTCGCGCCACTTTGCGCCAGGCTGGCCGCGGAGTGAATAGCCTGTTTGGCGTCCAAATTCTTCAGAGGGGTTCCCTAGAACAGAGGTTGCCCCATCCCCAGACATGATAAACATTAGGCTCCAAGAAAAACAACAATACAAACAAGGGACGCAAGGCGCATGCCGCAACATGTCATTCAACGCATGTGGGCCATGCGCAGACAACAACAATAGTTTCAAAGCTGAGATGACCATGGCTTTGAGGCTGAGATCGCCAAGCTTGGGGCATGCCACTCATGACACCCTGCCAGAACAATGATTGCGCCCATTTCCGGATGGAAGCGGGCATTTCTCCAACGGAACAGCCAAAGTGAGCACACGTACTTGAGAACGAACATGCGAGAAGATGAGCCACTTGTCCTTATGAGCCACTTATCCTTATGGCCTCTTGCTTCTTATTAAATGCCCTTGCCCCTGATCTTGACGTTCACAACATCTGGGCGAGTGCCAAAACCGTCAAGGCATAAAGCTCCGCATGAGAGCTACCGTGGTCACGGTGAGAGGCATTGCCTAAATCACTGGTGTTGGTTTGTTGGGTTCACAAGAAGCCACGCAGCGCACGTTGGAATGTTGGAAGCTACCAAGTCCACAGTGTCGCATGGGTGTCATCCAAGTGTTCGTGTTGCCGTGTCTGCCATGCGTCGCTTGTGTTTTTTTTTTCCCCCCCCCCGGGAAGCAGCTACATAATGTAGAACTCGGATTTCAACTCTCCGGCCATCTCGCATCCCCAAGCTTTAGGCTTCGCCATTCGGGCGAAGCATACATGAATCCTTCTTGCAGCATGTCTCATCCACTACAGATCCTTAAGCACTACAACACCCCAACTGCTTCAGACCTAACAACTAAAAACATATTCGCAACCCTTGGTATGCACCCCCCCACTCAAACTAAACAGCGCCCAAAAAACTAACCAACGAACCAAACCACTTGCCAAGACCACCCCCCCCCCCCAGCCCGGCCCCCCCCACCCCCCCCCACCCGCCTCACCCCCCCCCAGACCCCCACCCGTCCAGTGCCGAAGCGCGGTGTTGCTGATGGATCCCAGGCCCTGCGCTTTCAGCCGCTGCACGGTGCCCTTGGTGGCGGCCATGCCCACCTGCGCAGGGCCAGGGCCCTCCGACCCTCCGACCCGGGCCAGGCTCAGATTTTTTTTTGGAGAAGGAGGCGGCTTTGATGTTTTTATATGTTTTTGTAGGCCCCCTTTTTGGGGTGTAAGCCTTGTAAGCCAACTAATTCGTCAAAGGGCACCAGAGAGAGAGGGAGAGAGATAGAGAGAGCGAGGCAGGGAGGGAGAGAGGAGGGAGTTCATCTCCAGCTGTTCACGGATTGAACTTGTCAACTCATAGGAGCTGCCAAGGTTGGCCGATTGAGCATGAGAGTTCGACGCTCTGCTTCAAGCAGGGGTGGGGAAAACCCGGGGTGACCAAACTAGTTGCGGAGCTGTTGCCTGTTTGAAGATGGCTTTAAGAAAGCTGCTGTTTGAGCATTCATTCAAAGAGAACGAAAGCTTTGCCCTCTTGGGGCTATGTACCAAACACACACCAGCGGGTCAATGCTCACCCTGGTTTAAACTATAACGCTATCAAGGCTTGCAAGCGTGAAAATTGACCTCTGCGGGCGTGCTCTGTTCCGCTTGCAGGAATACAGGGCTTGAGTGGTGTTGCGACCATCCAAAAGGGCAACTCAGCTCATATCTTGCTGGTGTATGTAGTGCTTGTTTACGAATGGGCGTGGGTCAAAAATTGGTGACCGATCTGAAACCCGGGTAAATGGAAACAAGGACTACAACCTGCGGTCCGATTCCTGGTGGTTTAGTTTTGACCCATACCCCAATCTAAAGTGAACATGGGATCTCGCTGTTTATAATATGAAACTGCCTTGCGCCACCCCAAACCTCTCGCCCCAAAGCTGCCCGCCTCCCGCCAGGGGCCCCACTGCACCGCCACCACAGTCTCCCCGATTGCCTGCGCATTCGCCGATTCTACACATAGAGCTCGCTAGAACTTGCACAAACGGTAGCAACTGATACATGCAATGTATTTTCTGAAAGGACACGGGAAAATGGGGGTCCCAAGCCACTTGGCTCTCTGCGTCAATCTGTATCCTTCCCAAGCTAAAGCCATACGAAAGAGGACCTGCCTGGAGGCCCAGCACTTTGAAGAATCGCAGGATCTGCAAAGTACACATTCATGCGCCGCCTTCAAATTTAGTTGTTTCTCGAAAAGGGCATGGGAGAATTAGTGAGTCCATGTGAGACACCTCATTTTTGCAGCCATGTCCCTCCCACATGGACCCTAGGCTATCGGTTCGATTGTATTTTTGTTTGATATGATGTTGCAATGTATGTGCGTGTGTGTGCAGGTGAAGGTGTAAACACAGCTACGCCTGCATCGCCAGGAAACTGGTTGAGCAACACTAAACTGGGCTGTGCTCAGATCCCCTGCTAAAAGTGATCAACTTTTCGTGGGCGAGATGGACACCCCCACTAAACCCTAAGACCTAAGGAACCTTACGGCTGGGAACCACCAAGTAACATGGATCACCTAAAAACCTAAGGGACCGGCCAGCTTAACACCTTCAAGAAACATGACCAGACCTCTGCATGTGGAGCGGCTGAGCGCGCGAGCGATTTCGGTCTCCCGCCTTCCAATAGCGCGCCATGGCATCCAGTGCAAGGTTGGCCGCGGAGTAGTTCCCCTGCCCCGGCGAGCCTCAGACGCAAGGGGAGAAGGAAGAGCGAGTCAGGGTCCAGTGGATTCCCCCCCCCACCCCCCATTTTCAGGGTGATCCCGGCATTGTTTTCTTTCTTGTTTACCTGTTTTTTTCGGGGCCAGAAAGGGGGGAGGTGGGCGTGAGGAATCTTGGTTGGGGGGATTGCCTCTTGTTGTGCTTCCGGTTTGCCATCCCCCCCCCCCCTTTCTGGCCGTCCCGGTTTCTGGCCCCGGCTCTCATCCCGCCCACCTCAGCGGGGTCCTCCCACTTCCATGTTTCTTACCTTCCCCTTAGGGACTGCAATTCCAGCAGCGCTTCCAGCACTAGAAACACCTTGGACTGCCCGTCGGTGGAATCGCTCACTTCAGCAGGCCGAGACGCCGAGCAGGGCTGAGGTGGAGGAGAAGAGCAGCGCGAAGTCCAATCCACCAAGGCACAGCCGCAAGTGCCGAGCCCCGAACACCTGACCCAGGTCTTTGCCAAACGGAAGTACTGGTACCCTACGAACGCCAGCGTTGGGCGAGTAAACAAGTGTTTACACAAGCTTCGTTTGGGGTCCCTACAGAGGTCTAAAGATGTCCACCAACAAATCTAAACGGCGGGTTCCTCCCTATTAAAATGCATGGCTCTGATGGAACATGGCCGTTTGTGGTGATACCAAAATGACTGATTCTCATACCCATTGACTACTTTACCATTCTAAAGGGATTCCTGTGGGTCATTGGCCTAAGCCCAAGTTCTGATTCACCTAGAGGTGGTCCTCCGAGGACCCACATGGAACCAGAAACCGGCACTGCATGCCCACAGGTGTGGACATCTAAGGTTTGCTTTGCTTATGGCCATAAGGTTGCACCATATAAGGCTGTGTTGTTGGGAAGCCACCCATGTTCCTCATTACATCACCTTCTACAGGAACAGTTTGGGAATCCACAAGGACGGATTGGCTGGGCCAAACAAAGTTGCCAAAACGGGAAACGGACCCTTGTTGGCACCCCGACCTGGCTTTCCAGAAGCGAGCCAGCTGGAGCCCCTCGAGAGAAATTCGGTCGACTTGGGTCCGAACCCAAGACTTGCTTGACGTTGGAAGGGGAGCAAACATTCAAATGTTAGCAGTTAAGTGGGGGTTTCCCAATAAACCGCAATCAGCAAAAATGCAAAATGTTTCCCAACAACCACCAGGACGACAACGAGTTTGAGTGATTTTTTGCAGTCCATGCGTCCCGGCCTTCGCGCCATAGGCCTTCTCCAGGTGCTTGCGCGTGAGCTTGGGCAGCGTGGCATCCTGAGCTTGCTGAGGTTTTGGGAACCCTAGGGATCCTGGAAACCACGTGTGGGGTTCATAGGGGGACATTACCCCGCTCTCTGCTGAGCTCCAGCAAGATAGAGGCCTGGAAGAAAAATCATGCTTGCTTTTAGTTCCGCTTCAACTTTGGGGCCCTTTGGGGCAACAAATCGCGCGACAAACGAAGACCGCGCACGATCTGTTGGTGTCCTTCGCGCAAAATGGACCAAAATACCCACCTTCATTTCGGGTTGGCTAGTGGTTTCCCTTTCGGTTTCCCTTTCGGGCTCTGACATCAATATGTGTATGTAAGCTAACCAAACGGCACCACACAAGCAAGCGATAACTCTTTTATCCAAGCAATGTGTTGGTGCCAGGGACTCATCTTCCCCTGTCAGATGTCTACGGCTGGGTGGGCCCCATGGGCCACCCACCACAAACTCTCAAAAACTGAAGAACGGGTGTGCAGACTGATAGCGCCCGCCCCTGGGCCGGGGCCCGGGGCACCCAGGCCACAGGGGGGTCTGCCACCAGGGGAAGTGAGTCACCCACCGGCTCCGGTCACGGGAGCATGGGTGGGCCCACGCTAAGATCAAATGCATCTCCATTCAGGAGACGCGGGAGAAAAATGAACTCCTCGCAGAGTTCCTGTTTAGGGACTCTGTGCAAAGGGTCGAACCCAGAGAAATCTGGGTGCGTCAGCTCATCGGCCCACTGGTTGAATTCCCGGGGCACGTGGTTGGCCGCCAGCGAGCAGCCATGGGTGTGGAGCAGGAAGACCAGCTCCATCAGGATAGCCGCGGTGTAGGGCTTCTTGGATCCAAGGTTGAGCATCGCCATGACGTTGCCCTGATTGTCACTGCCCACCGGGAGTCGGACCCGGGAGGACAGAGGGCCTTGGTGCGTGAGGATCATGTTACAGAGGAAGAGCGTGCCCAGCATTTCCAGAGCCGCAATCCTCCGCTTGGGATCCCCATCCTTGAATGCCCACGGGTACTCCTCCACGTGGATCTGCTCGTGGAACCAGTACACCTCCTTCTTTTCCGGCTCCATTTTGTTGGCGCACCAGCCTCCCACAAATGCCAGTCCTTCATCCGAGGCGCTAGCATCGCTGCAACCCCACCAAGAGGACTTCGGCAAGTAAGGGGAGTACTGGACGAAGGGCGTGTTGAAGAGGAACCGCAGCATGAACGCCAGCATCCTGACCACCTTAGGGGGTTTCCCCACCGTGGTGGTGGCCATTTTCCAGGCCCACAGTGGCTGAAGCATCGACTTCGCCAGCGGACATGCAGCAGTTGCCCATTGGATGCGGCCCAGGGCCTTCTCGATGTCCTTTGAGTGCATCGCCTGCCCTTCCACCATGATCTGCAAGACCTCCATCACCAGGATGTGTTTGTTGGCGGCCATGAGAACCTGCGGGATGTTCGGGTGGACCACGAAGCCCAGCCACGTGTTGACCTCCGCCAAATGTGTCTTCTTCCAGCTAAGCGGGGTGCCCAAGGCCAGGAGTGTTGCCAACAGCGCCACCGCCAAGTTTACTGCCCTCGCTGCGAAGCAGCCACAGGAAGTCATCCACAAAGACGACGAAGTTCCAGTCCACTTGAGGGAAAAGTGCGTGGAGGACCCTGAGTAGAAGGGCTGCCAGGCGTCCCCAGTAGGATTGGGCACTGGCCATGCCGTATGTGCCTACCTTGTTCACCCACCATTCTTCCCCAGTGAGGCCACCTGGAACCGCCAGTCCTTCCTGAGGACCTTCACTCTCCGGTGGGCCTTGGTGACGTCCGCCTTGAGCAGCACCCACCTGGTGCCCGGCTCCGGCCATTGCCAGCCCTCGGGTGGAGGTTTAGCGACCTCCTTCTCGGGGCCGGGGGCACCCTGAGAGGGAGGTCCCTCCTCAGCTGCCGCATGTAGCCAATGAAGAGCTTGTACCCCATCCAGCACCGTCGGAGCCGTCGTCCTTTCCACCGTCTGGTTCCTGATGGTGTCATTGGCCCCGCCCACCGAGCCATCGTAGATGGTGCGGATCTTGTCCCCTTCGTCGATGCCCGCTAGGGGGCCTGGGCAAAGATCCTCCATATTGCAGCCACAGCGCGCTGCTGCCTCTACCTTGGTGAGAGGGCCATCTACCATGCCCATGGGGACCTCCTCCAGGAATGTGCTACGGATGAGCTCACTGAAGTGATCCGCTGAGGGGTAGTTACCCCGGCCCGTGGGATGAGGGAGTTCCTGGAACTCCGGCTCCTCCCCTTTTAGCTCCTTCTTGAGTGGCCAGATGCCCGGCGAGGCTAGGGGTGGGTCCGTGACCCCCAGTGGGACCCCTTGTTCCAGATCCCGAGGAAACTGGTGGTCGGGGTCCTGAATGTTCAGCGCCAGGCTGTGCAAGATGTCCAGGAAGAAGGGCTGGCCTTCCGCTGGTCGGCCTGCCCCTGGCGCCAGGATCTCCCTGATATCTTCCAGCAGGTCCTCCGGGAAGGGGTGTGACCCGTCCCCCAACGAGAGCGACTCCTGCTGCTTTGGACAAGAGTCCAAGTGAGGGCTTCCCACCCCCGTCCCTGAGGGGGCGCTGTTTGAAGGCCATCTGGAGGTACATAACTTTGTCGGAGAGATTTGGGTCGTGCGTGATCGGCAGGGTGGTGGGCCGATCCGAGATCTCCATTCCATGCAATGGCGTGCCCATGGCTGAAGGGGAAGAGTTTCACCCCGTGGTTCGACCTCCCTGCCCGCCGGCTGTGTTGGTGTCCGGACCGCAGGATTGTCTGAGGCCGAGACCGGACGTGAGCCCAAGGTTAGTCCCGCCAACGCTTGTTGGCCGGCCTTCAGCCTCAGGGACTGGCGCTTGTTGTCCCCCGGCGTGCGGGGAGATGGTTCCCTCTGCCGCCTCGGGGGGGTCGTTGGGTTCACTTGGGGCACCGTGCCCCCGGCCTCAGCGCCTCCAGGACGGGTCCCGCTCTGCAGAGGATGGCCGCTGCGAGACCCTGCATCATCTGCTCTGGGTACCGGCTGAGGTCACTGGAGTTGAGCTTTTCCCCCCTGGGGTGAGCTCCGTGGTTGCATCGCAGATCATGCCAATGGTGAAGGGGAAGGTCCGTTGACAATGTCGTGGACTTCACTACCACCTGGCCCAGGCGGCACTCGTCAAACTTGATGAGGGAGTGGTGGAGTGCGTTCGCCCATTGAATGTAGGCCCGTGTGACCCAGATCGATGAGCACCTCGCTGCGCTCGGGCTCTTGCTGCACTCCATTGGGTCCATCGGGTGCTCCAGGAAGGAGGAGCCCACCTGCGGGACCGTTCGTTGACCTAGTCCTTGGTAGGCCAGCGAGGTCAGGTACATCTGTCGGAGCATGAGCACGCTGTCGTTGTCCGTGTCCTCCCTTACCCGGGGCTCCAGGTCCTCCAAGCCCCACAGGGTCTGCTCCGCCCTGCCCCTCACCGGCGGCGGGCCTCCCGGTTTGGGGAACCATCTGAGAATGCTCCACGTTCTGCAGTTGGGGCCGCCCCCCACAAAGGCGACCTTGCCCGCCATGGCCATGGAGCACATTGTAGAGTATGGCTCGTCTCCCAGCATGTCCTGTCCAAGATCGCCACCCTTTCGCCTAATGTCCACTGCCCAAATGCACTCCGAGAAGGCCGGGTTGTAGGCATGGAGGTAGGCATCCAGGGCCCCCGCGTCGTCCTTCCCAGCGTACAGCAGGATGAGGGTCGGCTTCGACGACTCCGGCACTGGTCGTGGCGTCCACCTTAGTCTGGACCTCAGTCTTTCCGGGGTGTCTTGCATCCAGGGGAAGGTGGGGCTTGTCCCCCCTGCATTTTCCGTGTGTGCTTTGTCCGACCCACTGGTCGTCCGGCCCTGGGCTTGGAGCATAGCCAGCTGGTGCTGGACCTCGCAGGCGGCCACCGGCACGAGCTCACCGAAAACATGCGCTCCGACCCCGGCATCTTCGATTTTGTGAAGTGGCTGCGGGTGGGCGAGCCCGACGCGCCCGCGCTGGAGGAGGCCAAGGCGCGGGCCCGCGAACTCTTCCCCGCCAAGCCAGGGTGGCCCGAGACGACCCTGGTCATCAGCCACGCGCGGCGGGTGGCCGTGAACGCGGCAGCCAACCGGGCCCTGCAGCCACCGGGCGCCAAGCTCTTAGTACTGGAAACGGGTGTGGAAATTGCTCTGGCGCCCGAGAGCCAATCGCAGAGCCCACAGAACCGAGCGCAGAACATGCTGGTGTGGCCGGGGCTCCGGCTGATCGGGGGCGGTGGGAAGATTCCCAAGGGCGTCTTTGTGGCCGTTACAGAGGTGGAGCCCGAGCACGTCAGGCTGGGGCTTCCGGGGCCGGTGGCACCCTGGAGAAGTCCCCTCCCACCTGCAGCCGTCCTGGCCTCCCCAACTCTGTCTGCCTTCCGCTGTGGCTCTGGTGGGATTGGCTCTCCCCCGCTGTGTGCGCTCCCGCACTGGTGGCCTGTGATCCCTTCGGAGACCAGGCAGCCACGGGGCCCATGGCACCCTGAGTGGCCTCCTGTCACTTGGGGAGGTGTGCATGCCTGTGGCACATGCTTCGCTGGGGGGGCATCACACACCCACCCATCCTTCCTGACCGGGCAGTTGTGGTGTTGGGGGACTTCCCTTTGCCGCCCTTGCCCTTCGGCTTGGAATGGGTAGGCCCCGAGGACCAAGATCCTTTTCCCCCCTTCTTGGGCTTCTCCCACTGAGTCTGCCACACCTTGGGTGCCTTGCTCTTGCTCTTCCCCTTCGTTGGCGCCCTGTTGAGGTGCTCAAAGACCTCCCGTTGCCAGAAGAGGAAGTCGCCCCTGATGTTCTTGAGGGCTTCGGAGAGAGTGGTGCCCTGGTGCACCATTTCGTGAATCTTGCGCCATGCATTGCGCTCTGCAAACAGCAAGGTGGTGTCGCTCGGGGGAGGTTTCCTGCCGGCTATGTCCTCCCCATAGAACCAGGCATACCAGTCATCCAACTCCTCCTTGGTGACCCTCAGGTTGCCAAATTGCGGCAGTG